ACAAACTTTGGTAAGGCGAGCATGTACATTTCTACCAAAATGTATCAATCTCAATCTATTGTGGAATATGATTGAGTGATCTAATTGGCTTTTCACTCATGGGATACATATAAAATCTGGCACTCCAGAAGTATGTGTACGTACCAATATGGAGGTAACTAATTTTGTTCGCTTACTTCACATCAAGTTGTGTAAAGGGACTGAAGCCTATGAGCAGGGGGTATATCCACTTGGCTAACACAGACAGTCCCCGAATTCGTAATAGAACTCTAACAAGGAAAAACGAAATAAAATTATGGGCTAACCCTAACCTGTTACACATACCACAGGATTACCTATACCATAGTATCCATTCATCGGCTTCTATCTTCTCTTTATATTGTTCATTCCTTTTGATTTGTAACAATTGTTTTTATTTCAGCGCAATTATTGAATTCATTGCCTCAAGGACCGAATCCTCATCAGTTAGCAGTTGCTGCCGCAGCAGGAATTCCACCTGGTGCAATAGCTCATCATTTTAATCCAGAGGCTTATACTGCTGAAAGATTATCTGCTGAGAGGTAATTTGAATACGTTTTATTAGAGTTGTCAGTGAGTAGCAAATGGCAATCACCGTATTCCACGGACCATCGGGGTATGGGGTGCATCGTCAATAAATTTCTCAGATTGGGGTTTTGTCTATACATTAGGTGCACCCGACAGTTTTCAAGGAGTAAATGGCGGTATGTTTATAAAACGATAGTATCGCTACTGGTTTTTAGTGTAGGCAATGAAGCACTGCCTGATACATCTTAGGCGCACAGGCTCTTAAGATTGATTTTTGAGAAGAAGAAAAATTCAAAGTGCATTTTAAAATCCAAAATTTTGTCTTTTACAGGTGATTTTCATTAAATTTTTTGTTTTGCATTTGTAATTGGATAATTCCACTTTATGTAATTTTCACTTTATGTGAATTCCTTTACAAACTTATGCAATTGTATTATCTTAACATTTCATCACAGATTACAAGCAGAAAGATTAGCCGCAGTTCAACAATATGAACTGGACTTACTACATCATCATCAGCACCAACACGTACATTCACACCTACATTTGCATCAACCAGGGCAGCCAGGTGGCCCACCTCCACCAGGTACCCCACTACCACTGGGTGGTTTACCACCTCAACCCCACGGTATACCAGTTGAACAACTCATGAACAATCCATATGCCCAGGCTGCTGCTGTGGCAATGCAATCAATGCATCCATTTGTGGCTGGATCAGGTAATTATTTAAAATATATGTTTTATCTAGTGAAAATTTTATTAGAGCAAAACTTTGTCATATGGAGCACGATTCATCTCTTTGGTTGCTCTATATCAGCGATTTTCAACCGGATTGCGCCAGAACAGTTAATGGGTTCTGCGGTATCCAAGTCTGAGAGTCAATATATGCGTATTAGGCTTGCCGTCCTTGAATCTCGGCTCTAGTAGACCCATAAAGTCGTTCTGTGTGCCAAGCTGTAGGGTCCAAGCGGCTGGACAGATCTGGATGAAATTTTTCATGGTGTTACCCAGTCATCCTAGTATTATGCGTTTCACCCAAAGTCAGGATTGATGTTTTGTTTTCATGGTAGCAGTAAAATACCGCAACGGTGGTTAGAATTTCTGATTGCTACAAAAATAAAATAGGAAGCCTATTCCTGGGGTATTGTCCATCAAACACAACAAAATCTTCCTAAAACCAATTATGTGTTTGGTGACTTTGATTATTTTATGATATCATAAAATATGTCAAAATACAGAACAAAAATTCAGGGAACAACAACTTGTCACAGAACACCTGAAGGTCTTTCATGGAACGCTAGTTGAAAATTACTATTTTTAAACAAAGCAGACAACTAAACTATTGTACAGGGTCTTTCTTCTCAAACATCTGAAATGTTGAATATAGGTTGAAAACCACTGCTCTGTATGCTGTTTTGTTGCTTTTAAGTTTATCTTTATCAAACATTCTTATGATTCAGTCGCAAATCATTAATAGAAAAAGCGCTATATGAGATGATGACAAACTTGTAATGCTTGTTAGATTTCAAGTTGGCTATATATGTTGTGTCTGTGGGCTGTTAAAATATTTCAATACTTCCTACCTTGCTCTGGTTATTCTGCCTAGGAATTTTTTTGTATCTCATTGCAATTTATGAAAAGAGAATATAAATAAATATTGAGGCAACCATGATTTTGATATTCTAATTTTTTTTTTATATATTTACCCGAATTACTAAGTGACCCATACCATAATGCAAAGTCACTTTATCTTCCCTTTTGATAAAGCTAGCTATGGCATTGCAAACTAGGTACTTATGTTTGATACAGAGCAATAAAGCTTGATAGCAAGACCCACTACTTAATTTTCAGTGTGCTAGTTCAACTTTCTCATATTGGAAACAAAGAATTGATTGTCGAGTAAATTTGAATGAAAATTCCAACTACACAATGCAGTTACCAAGCTTTTAGTTTTTGTATAAATATTTTAGTCTTATACACTCAGCAGATTATTTTGCCTCAAGTGTTTATTCATCTGTGTTATTGGAATGATTCACACAAACGTTACTTTCAAGTACTCTTATCATCCACTTTGATGTAAGAGTATGATTAGTCAAGCACAGTACATGGTCCAATTATATTAAAACCAAACATGATTGGGTATAACCTTTTACCTGATCAAGCGTGATGATTTTGCTCTAATGATGTGGCTGTAATTGTAAATACTTCTGCGAGTTCCAATGCACCATTGAACATTTGTAATCTAGCTAATAAATACAGATAATTCTCAAATTATATGAGAGTCAAAATCTACAGAAGTTGGCTGTTTCTAGGAATATGGTACCAAGTAAAGGCCTGTGGCCCCACTATTTTATGAAGTAGAATATTTTGCTGTTTTCCAGTGAAAATAGAATTTATTACCTAAAAATTATGATTTTGTAAATACCGTGAGTTGGGATTTCACTACACTATGGACCAATTTCGAATAATTGGAATAAAATAAACGAGAGCGTAAAAATTATTCTGAAAAAAAATATTCTAATCAACAGATTTATGTTCAGAAGTTAAGTTAAGTTCAGAATCAATATGACGCCATTTTTCATAACTATGACCTCCTACCGAGTATCCAGTTATTTCCTATTTCACTTGTCTTGGGGAATTCAAGGTTTATTAAAATAATTTTTTTCAATCATTCTTTTTTATTATTACAGGTAACCCTATGCTTCTGAATCCTGCTTTACAAGCAGCGCAAACACAACAAGCTGCTGTCGCAGCGGCACAAGCGTCTCTCATTCAGCAAGGAATGCCAGGCGTGGCTGCTGCCGCACATTTACATGCCGCAGTTGTAGGGAGAGAACAGGCCGGTCAACCACATGTACTCTCTGCTTCTCAGCATTTACAAGCAGTTAACGAACAGCATATGCTAGAGAGCACACAGCAGCATGCTAGAGCGCTACAAGCTTTTCAAGAGCGACAATACATGGCAAGATTAGCAGGCCATAAACCATGATAAGATGTAGCAACCAAAATCATGAATTTTAAATTTTTATTTACTTGAAGTTTCTGACAGAGTAAAAATTTCTTAGGAGTAGTCACCGAGAAGGATAATAATGCCAATTCGAACGATCTTATCTAAGATTTGTATTGTTCATAGGTGGATTTATTTTTTCTACGAATTAAAATGCATCTGGCAGTTGATTTGGTCGGTGTTCATTGATAACCAGTAATGCGATTCAAAACTTTTAAAACGGGTTCTTTTTTATATCGAACTTATTAATAACGGGTTCTGTATGTATGTCATTACGTAAGCTACTTTACATAAATCTATTAGATTAATTCTGAAATGCCAAATATAACTCTAGCCGTCAGCTACAGCACATGTTACCCATTTGCTGCGATCATGTAATGACTAAAAGATAAAAAATAGTAACGGTATTCCCTATTATCATGACATTCCAAGGGTTTGCGGATTAGAGTGAATCTCCTGAATCTGGCATTGTTCACAACCCATTTGAATAAAATTGATCCACATAAGCAATAAGTATGGGATAATTAGCTCAAGCTTTAGAGCTGAAAAAAATGCTCAGTGCTCAGTTACAATTCTACATTTTGATCAACTTCATTAATTTTATGGCTTAACGAATTTTAATTATTTAATTGATGACTGAAGTTCAGTCTAGTTCAATATATTTTTACTTGTTTTAATAGAATGTATTGTTTTTCTTTTTTTCTGCTCGATTTAGCAAACTTCTATATCTGCTGCTCCTGAAATGAAATTAGTTTCATCGTTCATCTCGTCTTGTAATAATTTGTGTTTGTAAATAAATGAGCAAGGAAAATTTTTGTGTGTTCTCAAAATGCATTGGTACATCATGGCTAGAAGTTTGACAGTTTGTTGTCACACTTTATGTTTGATTGTGTATAAGTGAAAATACATCTTTTGATTTTGCAAAGCACATGAATCTTGGAAACCTCACTAAACATCTACAGTGCGAACATAATATCACGACTCTTATGCTAACATTAAAGTACCTTTTTTAAATTATCCAGATGAGACAAGAAATGGATATGTAGTTGGGGGTTCAAGAACAATATTTCTATTGCCACAGCCCACAATTCTCTTTTCAGCAGATTACTATATATGCAAGGCCTATCAGTCCATGTGAGAAGCAGAAGACGCATTTCATATACTGACTTCATTTCTGCGCATTGGAACAGGAGTAATGCTAATCCAATGTATGTTCATCATAGAGCATGCAGTGTGTGTTATCAGTCCATGTGAAAAGCAGAAGACGCATTTCATATACTGATATCATTTCTGCGCATTGGAACAGGAGTAATGCTAATCCAAATGTAGGTTCATCATAGAGCGGTGCAGTGTGTGTTACTTCATTTCAGGGGTCGACAACCTGTGGCCCACTGAGACAAATATAGTATGATACTCATATTATGCACGTGTGATCTATTAATATCAATGTAAACATCCGTAGATGCGAATGTATGTAAGTGCAATGTTTGTGGAAACAAATGTATACAATTGCAATCATTTCGTGTGTAAATTTTAATGGATGCAAATTCCCATCCTTCAATGCTTGGACAAACCAAAAAAAGGTCACTTATAGGTTTCTCAATAACATTGCAAGTGTAATCTTCGCACTATCATGGATAGGAATAATTTGTAACAAACATTATTTTATTTTACATTTGGGTAGTAATTCTGCGTGGCCTGCCAAAAATGTTACTTATGTTCATTTTGGCACCCAGGGGGCAAATAGCCGTCACACCCTGCTAGATTCATTGCTCCCTACTTTGCACTCATAGCTCACCGATTACCAGATTGTTGAACCTCTTGCATCATCGAATGGTTAGAGCTTTCAAGTCCATTTAACTGGAATAAACTACTGTTTACCTTTTCCTGGGATGAATTTTAAAACGTCTGTTATTCTTGACTTACCTCAGCCTAACTGCATACTACTCTAGCTTCAGAGTTACAAATGCTCAATGTAGACAGTGAGATTTATAACAGCAATACTACAATTTTAGCAGAAGGACAGGAAACAATAATATCATATTCAACTTGAAAGCAAAATGCATAGCTGAAGGCTTTGTCAAGCATTACCAGTACATTACTTTCTGATAATGCCATCATAAAATGCACAAGCTTTTGAATTAAATAGGATATGTAAATAATTTCTAAAAAACATCTTGGATGAAGATTGTTATAATATATTGCACGGACTTTGACTATTTGTTACTTCCGAGACTTTTTCACCCATTTGAGCTTTTTTGACAGCTTCTATAATCTGTAAGAAACAAGATAGTTAATTGTCTGGAATGATATATAATATCTGACTAATTGTATAGTGAAAAAAATAACAAGTGTTTATTACTCACATCTTTACTGTAAGGGAACCCATATGTTTTAAGTTTAGAAAACACAAGTTCTTCATTGACAGACACTTCGAAGGAACCTAAATTTAAAAAAATGGTGACCTGTTACCAACACAGTTTCAATTGATCAATCCTGAATATGTTCCTGTATTATGTATCCACTATCCGTCACAATTACTAGGCCTACCAGTACTTTATATTTCATAATCGACATTACATGACTTTAAAAGACGTTTGGGATCATATATGTGGATCCACCCCCCCCCCCTCTAGTCGTGCCTCAGTGCTTGTATGAAGATCCAATCCACACACCCTACCCGAAGAGGGGGGATCTTTATATGACCCTAACATATGCTAAGAGCAGAAGCATAGCCAACCCAAGTAGAGGCCGTTGGGGCACAAGCAGCTTCCCTTATGGCCTTGGGTTAGAGGTCGACACTGCTTCGCTTCTGCCTCTAGCTTAGGACCCCAAGGGGGGAAGCTCTTCATTATTCGACCATTGTATTTCTGCTTAAGAATTGAAAAATTCAAAGAGGAAATTTGCAAGGCAAAATTCAGCAATGCCAACCTGTTGAAACATGAATAATCCCTACCAAGAATGTGTTACAACTTATGTGTCTTATATTTCCCACTGGTGATAGAGCAAGACTCAAAGTACTAGAGTCAAGTCATTTTTATCATATTACCTTCTCGGCCCTCAAATCCGGATATGTCAAGACCAGAACAGCTGATTTGAATTTCAGATTTGAGTTCTTCGAAGCGTGCATCATACCCTCAGCTAGCACTGAAAGGAAACAGAAAAAAGCATAAACAAACTTGATGGAAATCAAATACATTTCATAAACTTCATGGGCACGAAGAAATAGTCTAATCAATCTGTTAAAAATAATAAAGTTAACCATAGGTTCAAATATTATCTGCGAAACCGGAGGCCAAGAAGCTGTATGACTCTTTTAACGTTAAATAACATTACATAACGTTACTACTCTCAGTCTATTATCGTAGTTACTGACTTACCAGTATTCAACTGAAACAGAAACTTTCTTATCCATATTGATCAAGTGAACAAAAACGCCTGAGCTAGCCTGATCAAAATTTAGCAATAAACAACGAAAGCACTGAAAAATACATAAAGACCAGATCAGTGAAATACAAAATTTGTATAAAGGTACCGGTAAGACTCCTTTCGTTACACACGTCACTAGGCCCATATAATATTAGACTCAATATAAAAACCCACCAAAACAAATGTACACTTGTAGGCTACAGCTGAACGACGGAAAAAGCTTGAGCCACGCCAATAACATAACGATTAGGCGCACAAGATACAGATTGCAATTTCGACTTTCAAGATATTGTTATGTAATGACTCAGCGTAAAACATGGCCAGTCACAATTCCCGGCCTATAGGCCCATTCCCCCATAGTGTACTGTTGTCTTGAGAGTGCTTCCGCGAGTGGCGCTTACGAATTATTTGCAGTTGCAATCTCAAAGTAAACAACAAACATTTTACAATTATATATAAATTACAAGAATAATTTTTGGAGACAAGGATTTGGCTATGATCTTAGTCTTTACGTTTGTGTATCGTTCGCAATATGGTCGCCAATCTAAGAAACAATGATTCAGATATTTATTTTCCGTCGTGCAAAAACATTGTACATTTAAACGAATAGTATATAGCAAAACTCGAATTTATATTCCCGCGAAAACATACACCAAATATAAGATTGAAACACATGCAAGATTGGAAAGTCGGTAAAATCGACAAAACCGCCAATAAAGTTTAAAACATGAGGAATTATATTTGCCATTCACTCATTCAACACACTCAGGATAGAAGGATTTACATATTTATTCCGGGTAAGAAAAAAGCCGCTAAGACGGCTTGATCATATGGCGAACCACGACCTCTCGTCCGGGTAACAGTCCATGTCAGGTATGGGATTAGTTAGCCAGTTATTCATTTCAGATGCATAAACTTGATGGAGGATGAGGCCGTAACCGACCAGCGGTTATGTTGAACCAAAGGTACCTGGAAGGCGAGCATAACTTAGAAAAAAGGCTGAAAACATAAATAAGTACGCGCCCGCAAATAATGCAAGCACACAAAAGGTCAACACAATTAGAACTCTGGCAATACTTTTAAAGCAATTCAAAAAACTAATAAAAAACGACAACAATAGTGTGGGCGTTTAACTTGTGAAACAAAACACACTGCAATCATGGTGGGTTCCAGTTTATAATCCGACGACCGGGTACCGGAACTGCACGGCGGAGGCCTCAAAGCACCGATTTTGCTAAAAGATATGGAGCAATACAAAAGCGGTCGTGCACTTCGGAATGTTAGAATAAAACAGCAACATTTTGGTGAAACATAGAATATCATTCATATCGAGTCTCATAAGAGAAAATTTAAATAAAAACAAAAGTAATGGCCTTCTAGCATCGTCTTCCATCTTTAAACACCGAGAATTTGGATAAACTGGTAGTTGCGGAGAAAGCAATATTTTACTCAACAAGCAATAGCAACAAGATAAATCCCAACAACATCAAGAATGATAAAAACAAATTTACCAAAACGATACATATGTACCATTTGTGTTCAATATATATCAATGTATGAGAGGATTGTTTGCTATACGCGTCGTAGGGAGGTCCAGGTAAATGGCCCGCTACAACTTCCCCCGCCTGGAACGAATAACTTGTTAACTTTTTCCCTGTCCAGCACTGACTGAGCGTTGAACTATTTATACATTTTCTTCAATAAAATGTAAATTTCTCATGTTTTATACATTTCTCGAATTTCACGACTAATTATTTATATTGCAGAAACCGTTTCATCCTACGACCCTTAATTCGTACGAAAGTAGATGGCAATATCAAAAAAGTTTTATTGCGCTAAATGTGTTATATATATTATACAAGAATCCAAGCAGATATACGATATAGACATATATATAGCAGATGTATGAATAGTCAGTAGTATAATAAATCACATAGCGTTGTACCGCGTCAATCTTTGTTAGTCAGGATACGCTGATTTCTAACGAAAATGTCATCATATGTGAAAAATTACACTATTAATCACCACAACAGTTCGCGTAGCAAAGTAGTAGATCTACAATCGGGCTAGAAAATCTAGGCACAAGAATATATGACCGGGTAGTAGCCTATATGGGGAAAACTTCAATTGAATGATGCAACTAATGGAATTCTTTACATGACGAGACAAGAAGATTTGCTTTTTGTAACAGGTTCAATATATTGCCCTTCTTGAGCTTTTGCAATGGCTTGCATGATCTGTGAAACGAAATGAATCCTATTGATATATATGAATTAATTCATGATAGCTGAGTCAACTTTCTTGTGTGATACTACTTACGTCTTTTTCATATGAATCCACCTTGCTTCAGTTTAGAAAAAACAAGAGTTCCGTTTATGGACACTTCGAAAGAACCTGAAAAGTTATTATAATAATACATTGAATTATTGTTCATTTCCATATTGCCAGAATATATTTACTTCCCTTTGATTTGGTTCACCAGAAAAACATTGTCATTTCAGATAGAGTAGTTTTGTTCGAGAACAACTGTTTTGTTGATACATGGATCTAGAACAGTGGTTTTCAACCGGGGTCCCGCAGCACCCTAGGGTTCCGCCAGTACCAGGGCTTCGCAAGTTTACATCAAAACCCGAGTGTCTATATAAATATTGTTTAAATATAATCAAATACTTTTCAGGTTTGCCACCAAAGATCATTTTGTTTAGTCAATAGTAAGTTTACGTTTGTATATATTTATAGTTTATACAATTCAGAAAATAAAAAACACAGTATTGCACAGGCGTTTTAACGAGCCTCTCTGGAATGTTCGATTGGAGTTCCGTTCCACCGAAAAGGTTTGAAACCAATGAACTAGAACAATCCGTGCATAAATGCATACTGACTGCGGACTGGGCCATATGTTTGCTGATTTTCGACTCATATTTTATAATATCCGGGACCTAGAATTCGAAATGGGCATTTCGAATTTCTCGAAGTCAGAATAGGAATACGGAGTAGAGATTTGGGGAAGAAGTAAAAAGTTTTTAGAACTCTGACCCAGAGTAGCAATAGGGCTTCATTGACTGCATAGCACCGATTTAAGCAAGGAGTTCCAAACAGCGCTTTAATTGCCCGTCGAAAATGGCTCATGCTATTACTTACTGCGGCGACCTTGATATCCGGATACTTCTACTTCCGGATATTTATTCTGTATTTTGGCCTGAAGTTCTCTGAAGCGTCCATAGTAACCTCAGCTACCACTTAAACAAAAAAATATTCCCGCTCAGTCGTAGTTCATATTCCAAAAAACAAGCATGTTCGATAGGTATTACAGCATAAAGCAATTGAAAGTTGAGCATATATATATATATATATATATATATATATATATATATATATAGCAACTGATCTACTGAACTCGCCTCGAATATTACTAATCTGATGCATTTAGTACATGTTTTATAGTACATATATATTCCATTTTCTACTCATAAAATTCAACAGAAAATTGAAACTAAATCAACCTACCAGTACTCCACAGCTAATTTGATCGGATTTCCCATAGCTTGCAACGGTTTTGCGAACAACTTTGTACCGAATTAACGTTACCGTCTGTCTCCTCCGCACACTGCCACTAAAAGTTGAACATACAGTTAGCTGATGTTACTAACTGCGTGAAAATATTTTGCTTTGTCATTCTTTGTCAGCATTGAATTGAGCCACCGTTATCATACTTGGACACTGTTTTAGTTGTGCCTTTACAGCTGAATTGACGCATGGGATAGAGTAGACTTGAAAGCGTCTAAAAGATTTGTTAAATCAATACATTTGTTTAGCACGCCAATATGTTAACTCAAGCACGACGACCACAGAAAGAATTTGGTATTTCAATAAATACATGAAATAACAGTAAGCTAATTTTATCTTGTTTTGTGGTTCTATTGAATGCTTAGGGTGTGTGACAAAAACGTACCGAAATGGGCTTTAAAAATAAAAAGCAGTAATTTATTGAAATGCAGTGAAGGTCGCGTAAATATATTGTGTATTGATCGTGTGTAATGTTGTTCGTTCTGGCGGTAGAATGGGAATGCATATTTACAACCCAAAAGAGCCCCAAAAAGCGATCTTCAGAGAGTTTGGCCTTCGGCATTGATCGCGAATATATTCAGTTTGCACAACCGAAAAACATCTTTTCATCATTTATCAGTGTCTCACGATATCACGTAGTTTTTATTGGCCGGAAAATATATCTTGGGTGAAACACAAATTTTAAAGCATTGCAAAAAAGCATGGCTAAATTATTCTATGCCTTTCCCTCTTTCTTTAAAGTTGAATTCTAATGAATAACTGTAACGGAGCCAAATTATATCTCAAAAATCCCATTGGTCTTTTATGTTTTACTCACTATTAACCCCACAGGTTTTAGTTCGATCAGTGAACACCATTTATATATTGCAATAAATAGAAGCTGTTAAAGTAACTCCACGATTCAATTCTTTTCTCATTCGGTGTTGGCCATTTGTCATTGTCACGCATATTACATTTCATAACATTTATCATTTCCAAAAATATCTTTTTCAGTCCGAATTCAAATAAAAGCAAGCACGAACAAAAAAAATATTGACGTAACACAAATAACAGTTTTAAAGGTTCATTTTCGAATAAAGGATTTTCTAGCAATTTATTGAAGCGCTTGAATTATTCGAAAACGAAACGCAGTTTATGAAGGAAAGTCTTCGCTAATGTTGTCTGCAGATAGATATTGATTTTGAGTCTTAAAATGAATTTTCTCCATAAATACTAATCACAGTCATAAAAATGTGCGTCACGCGATCAACGTCGTACTCTTACGCAAAGTTGAGATGAAAATATTTACCCAATGACGTAAAGGTCATCTATTCACGTGCTCTTTCAATTTTCAAACGCTTATTTTTATTCCAATATTTGCAACTTAAATTTTATTTGACGTTTAAAATTTATGATAAATATTTCCAAAAAAAAACTATGAACAATATTTATTTATGTCGGGGCGTTGTTGCTTTAATTCTTTCCAATAATCTCAGAAATTAATCAATGTTATCGTGTTACTCGAATGTTTGTTAATTTTTTGACCCAATCAGATGAGCTTCTGGCTACCACGCAATAAATAATCAATACAACAATCTTGTTTATATTATTAAAATTTTTCATTACTTTCTCTGACCTTCCGGATTGTTCATCATTATTTGTTTGATTGTTATCCAAAATTACTCGTTTTAATATCTTATCTGCCGTTTCATAGAAAATATTTAGGATATGAAAATATATTGTGATACCATATTTTATGATATTCAAGAAAACTGATTTTGACAATCTAAATAGTGTTGAAAAAAAACATGTTGGAGTAAAATAACAATTTATGTAAAATTTGTAAAAAATCTTGGACGTAAAACAGCAACAACATTTACAAAACCAAAATATTTATGATCAAAATTCAGACTCGTTGATACTAGCCATTCATCTTTTGAATGAGCAAAACTGAAAAATGAATATATTTTTAAAATAGATAACTAAAGCGGATTTTCAATCCAGTCATAATGTAGTTTAGTGGTATAGAAACAAAATTAAATCAAGTGTATTCAATCGCGCATCAATGTGTCCCGTGGGTCGCTTGTTGCACACCCCTTCTATAAATAATCATGCCGTTAGAGACTACAAGTTGCCAATATTTGATTTATTCGAATAGATCTTACAAATTTTACCTCAAATCTAAGATATTGTAAAAAAAACATGTTTCAGACAACTGAATTTATAACACGCGAAATATGAAAGTACAGCCAGGCGAATCGTTATCGACAAGATTTTTATTTTAAATTGGTACCACATACTGAATGTCTTGAGTACCGACGTCGATTATTGTTCGGTTCAGAGGGCGGGCCACAGTACTTTCGTAAACAATGGCGGTTGTAGCTCTGTTAAAAGGAGGGAATACAAACACTTCGCGAGAAAATCAGCCTCACGAAAGGTATCTGTCGTTCAATTATTGGAGTGGCAGATCAAAAAATTTTCTTTATCTCTATCTTCATAGATTCTGTACATCGTAAAAATTCTGGAGATTTAAAATTACATGCTTCTATACATACCTATTTAAACATACGAGCTGGGAACATGTAAATGAGCATTCAATACAATTCAAACTAATTAGTGAACGAGGGGTGGACGGATGAATCATCGCCTAATTTTACACCGGTGCTTCAAAACAGTTCCGTTTACGTTTTCCGCGTTTCTTTTCTCTTCTAACATTGAACAAGTAAGTTTGGCAATATTTGAAACGACTTAAAAGATCAGTGTCCTGTTCCGAACCTATAAATAACCGTGGTCTCTCAAACAAGTGTTTATGAGTTGTAAATTGCCCGTATAAAAAGTATCATTGCTTCAAATTATTTCCGATCGTTCTCGTGCAGATCTAAACTAAAGCAAAACGAAACATTTTGATTTTTTTTGCAAATCTGAACGGATTTGAAGACGGATACATACTTTTGCATTCTTTAGAATCAGTTTTAAATTTTGGGGCTTTTTAACTACATGGGGCTTTCAAACGCATTCATATTGATTGCAAAACTGTGTTTATTCCATTTCAGCCTTGATTATAACCTCCCTGTAAATTATACAAACAGGGCAAAAGTTACCACACCTATAAAATGGTTCGACCCTCGAATTAAAATTTGGAATCGTCAAAATTTTAAATTTGTCTTCGTCTTTAACAATTTATGTTTCTTTCTTTTTGTCCCAATATTATCTTTATGAGCATAGTCATATTTTTCTTTATTGCTATTTTATTATTCTTTTATGTCAATTTCTCCTTTTTGGCTATGATTCATATTGTTTCATGAAACATGAAAATGAAATTTATCGTTTTCAGTCAATCTGTGGTTACGTATAATATCATAAGTTCCTGATTTGTCGCAAAATAGAGCTCATCGGAAAATACTAATTCATACAAAAGACAAATTTTCAAAACCATTGATTCATACTTACTTCCGATGATGTTAAATTATATTTCGTTGTAAGTAACTTCCATCAAAACTTTCTCATTCCACGTATTTTCGATGCGATGAACATTTACATCTTCTTGCACGGAATATACATTTGACAGAATCGTCGATTGCCGAAAGACGCTATACCTGACATGGGCAAATTACTGCCTGCGGGTCAAATCCGGCTCGTTGGGTAATTCAATCTGGCTCGCCTGATGCTGCCGGAACCAAACTGAAACCAAATTTTGATGTGTTAGCTAAAAAATAGCTTAAAGAATTTGTTGACGTTGCGATTAAATTTAGTTTTGGCACAAGACTTATTGTTCTCCACTTTTACTTTTGTAACACTGTAAATATTGGAAATACAAATAGAAAGACTATATCTTTATATCTGTTGCTGAACATGGTATAACAAGAGATTGGATTTTTCTCATCATAAATATGATTATTTGAAATACAGTTGAATACAAGTGAAAATGCTGAATATTGGATAAAATGTCATTCTTCCTTTATTGCCAAATAGATACCCCCTCCTTAATTACATAAAATGAAATGTATTTTATTTATTACTAGATTATAACATCACCCATATGTGTAAAAGGCAGTCGTGATTTTTGTGAGAATTGTCACGTATTCTGGCTTTATCTCCGCAGGTGTGAAATAGATTTGGTTTCAAATTCAGTTTCATTGTTGTGGGAATAATGGTTGCCATATTCCAGAGATCCGCGTATAAATGATAGTACTTTAAAATGCGTTTATTTAATTTTTACCAGAGTGATTTATCCACTCGTGGTATTAGCCTTCAAAATTAATTACTGATCTTCTACGTGCCAACCTTTGATACATATAAGGTACTTTACAGTGCGGGAACCGTTTCACCGACAGTTTCCCCTCATGTCTACAATTATACGAATTTGAGGTACGAGTCAGCCAGTTACGTCACGTACAAAATTACAGGAGTTGATTTTTTAATTCTTAGAAAATTTTTAGTATCGCGCACCACTGTGTCCTAGATCACGCTTCCAAATAACGTAATATATATTATCTGAAACAGAAAAATGTTTGATGATAGTTTGCTAAGCCGCTAGCCTATACTTATTGAATGAATAAAAGTAATCAGATTGTTACTCACTTCATGTTTTATTTAAAGCAAATCGAATGACTGAGTTTGAGGTAGACGCACTTGTATGCGTCAAATTTAAATAGAAAACATATAAAATTTTGCAGAATATCAATTCATTTTAGTCACAGACATGGACAACGTGCTGATATACACAGGTAATCGGTTGCTTGTTTTCCTGTTTCTACATAACTTGGCAACTTGAAAGAATCAACCTAATTTGACCTCATTGCGGAAGCAACAAAACACATTCGGTGAATAGCACAAAGTTTGACATGGAATTTGCTTAAAACGACTCGCCCACACGAGAATAATCTTCATCATATTTTTTCAAGGCCATGATTGATGACGTATAACGTGACGTCCCCGAAAGTCGCACGTAGGCAACCGGATTTGTAAGGGGCGACACTTATGACATCATCAAAATGTCAACTGAATACTATCATTTATATACCACTGTTAAACCACTCACGCACTCATTGTATATATGAAATCGGATGTTTGCCAATCAATAAAACCAGGCAAAACGATGTTATTTTGACCACAGACATCGCTTCATTCGCACGTTCGGTCTCTCTCATTCATGGATTTTACGAAAACCCAGCGAACAGGTTAATGACTCAACGCATGTGTATTGGATATGAACGCAATTATGGGCATTTTCGATTTAATTCTTGCGACGTACTTGAGGTGGGGCTATCAATGCGAAACGTGCATACTGTAGTTTGCAATATGTTTTATCCGTTACATTTTTCTACAAAAAATATGACCAGGAAGTCTCATATGCAGATATATGGGCCAAGAAAAATATTGCAACATTTCCTATAAGATTCTATGTATGAAGACCCCTGTTATAATTTTATGTAAAACAGATAGCGAAGGATTAAGTTAATTCACCTCCTTCATTTAAGTCCATTTGACTGTGTACAATCAGTCAAGTTAGTTCATTTCATCAATAGCCTACAATACGTAACAAAATTACATTGAATCCCAACATACATTGGATGGAACATAAACTAAATTGGTTTATTAGCCTAACGCATTAATTTCGTTGAAACACATAGATAAATTATATTATCAACTTCGAGTGTTTTTACTATTCACGTATTGAAAATCTACTCTATTTCAAAATCTTTACGTTATGAATATATGTCAGATGAACTACCTTGAAAATATCCAACGGTTTATATATATAAATAGGATGTGTGTTACAATGTTGTATGCATATCGCTTAAAGCTGCTCGCGTATTTGCTTTGCCCAACTGTGAAAATAACTTTAATTTTTTATGTTTTCGACCATGTTCAAGCATAAATATGTTCGTTCTATCCAGAAATCATGAGGTATTCAAAATGGCCCAGCCCTACCTACTACAACACGAATAAATTAAGTGTTTTCACCGTCAAAGTGACCTGAGCGTTTTTTATAAATTTGCTATTATTTCCGCAATAAAATAACTGGCATTTTCTGGTTGTCTCTCAGATATATATTCATGCACAATTATGAAATTTTTTTTTTACCTGTGGAGTGTATAAAGAAATAAACAAATTGTACCTATATCGGTAAGTCTAAACTTCGAGACTCAACAGGATTATTGAGTAATGATAATTAGAATAATTTTAGTTCCGGAACCTCCTCCCCGTCAGAGAATTAGAGGACGATGTCATTTTACTTTTATTTATAGGAATACAAACAAATAAATACAATGCACAATGCTTAGCATTTATTGCTGTTTTTTAATACGCCAAAGCATAACGAAAAGTATGATACATGAACCACGGATCAACATGATTGTCTGTCGTTCATTGGGTTTTTGCAGGTAATAAAATAGCAGTAATAAAATAACCAGAATTTTCCAGTTATTTGGTACAATGTCAAATATAGCGCAACGTCATATTATACGAGTAAAAACTATTGTACTTATCTAACTCCAAAACATAAACAATTTAAAAACATAAAATTCTTGTATCTGCAGAACGAGAAACGATTGTAGCATTGTAGCTCGTTTAATTAATATTTAATAACACGGCATTGCATTTGTTGAACCCGGACATACTCTATTTCTTTCATCTTTTGAACCGGTGACTTTATCTTCCCAAATTTGAAGGAGCAGATGAGAAATCGATATACCGGTATGTCTACGATTGAAGACACGTGCGTTTCAACACGTACAGGTTATATAGTGCTCGTATTTTAATAACTAAAATTTAATAATCTCTCTAAGAATTCGGATATTAGTACCTTGAACTGTTTAATTAAGTAATAAATATTACTCTTATAGAGTTGCCATAAAGTCCCTCCTTAAAACTGCCACAAGCAAGTCAAACAATTACTTGTGACTTAGAATAAGTCTATTTACCACATTGTGGCATGTTCATTTTGAACTCCCAATGTACCCTTTCCAAGAATTGATTGATCGATAATAACAAATGCATCATAAATCACATTTATTTATATAGTATCAAATTACATCCGGAAATAAATGTTTTACTGAAATAGTTTTGGAATGCATTCGGAAATTTCTATTTTACAATTATATTTTTATTGAAGAATATCGTAACAATTTAGGCATTTACTTTTATTTATAGAATTTTTCAATATCAATAAAATGTTCATAATACCCAGCTTAAATGAAATTATAAATTGAAGCTGTGATAGATATAGTCTCTAGGTTTCGCAGAGTCGTTTGGCGGTATTTATCCCATGCAGTCCAAAAAAACGAATAACCAGCTATATTACTGCAGAGACGCAATTTTACCAGAAATCCCAGTAAATACATAAAAATTTCATTAAAAAGAACAATCGGTGTAAGTAGAACTATTCTGTTATTATAACACTTTTTATGTCGTAGTTACATTACTTTTGTTAATCCCCTTTAAATGTGCCGTCCGTAAAACTAATTATAATACACGCTGTTCATAGGGTCTCTTCGAAGATTTAAAAAAATCATTACATACACAATGATAACTTTTCAAATTGGAACCTGTATGGAGATCCTGCTGTATATTTTAGCAAAGTTTAACAACAAAAGCAATACTGTATAATATTGTTACAATATAGTTTGGATATATAATATATTGTATTGGCAGTTTGTATTCTATATGTGCATTTTAATATTGTTCAATTACCTATCAAAGCGATCCCGATAAGTTACGCCAAAATGCTAATCTTGTAACAGAATAGTAGAATGTGCAAAATTATGATAATTATACTAAATCTACGTGGTTGTAATTTTCATGTGTATCCGCTCAAATTTAATACAAAATGTAGAAACATTCAGAAATTGAATAATATTGTACAGTAATAATCGTTTTGACAAGATTGACCCAACTGTTCAAATATTTCACATCGCTTGGCAATTTCCCCTTATAAATGAATCAGATAAAATGTTCTATCCTATTGACAGGCGTAAATGCCTTTTTCCCTCAGACCATTCTCGCCTATATAAACGTTCGTCCCATCTACTTCTTCTCATTTGTTTGAATATCGCTTGCTTTGACAGCTCGAATTAATTGAAAATACAGATGTCTTTACAAAAGCATACCCATCGGACGTTCACTTTTGGCCGCATGGCGTGGTGCCAATACCCCGATATGCTCAGCATTGACGAACAAATGTCAGAAAACAAAACTTACAACATTCTGTCATCAAATGCACCAATCGGCGCAAATAACAACAACGGAAATTACATTTCCAAGTTTTATGTTCACTTCATCATCGCCGAAAATTGGTTGCAGGACTGCAACTATCAGTGACAAGAAGGAAATAATCGACTTTTTGTGCAAAATGTTTTTGTCTCGGGAACCTCTCATGAGTGCTTAAGGCGACGGAAGCAGATGCTCGGCCATTTGTGGAATATCATGTAAAGGTAAATGTTAATTTTAATACTTCGAAAATATCACATCATTCTGAGTCTTTTAACATTATGATCTATTTATTTATATTTGGATTGTATTTTGACGTATAATACTAAAAGTCAGCATAGAAACTAGAACCACCGTGTAGTTAAGCCGAAGTTGCAAACTTCTCAAAGCGGATTCAAAATCTACAGCTAACTGGAGGGAATTTTCACTCAATCAGACCATACTTTCTCATATTGCGTCATAAATGAACGCGTATATACCGTGTTTAATCAATAACCACAAAAGGGTGAATTTATACATTGAATTGCGTTTGACCTCCCATCGCAAGTTTTTTCAATATAAAATTTTTTTAGCCATCAAACTCAAGTTCTAAACTAATATAAACGAAAATCTAAGAACGAATATGTGAATCTGCATAAGCTATAGAATGAACAATAAATCTCTAAATTTTTTTAAACCAGGATGCACTAAAGAATAATGCTTCATTTGTTGCCGTGGATGAAATGGGATCAATTTGTGGAATTCGTCTCAATGCTGTTGGGCCAGCGACTGAGGAAGACAAACCAAAAGACTTCGGAGTCAAAATGAATATTTTAGAAAAGGTAATTTTGTAATTCTAATATGAATAATTATTCCGGAAATTCTTCAATGATTCACAGACAAAAAGGTGGAGTTATGACATAAAATCGTTAAAATTGATCTTTTTGTTTGTGAAGAGGATCGTCGTGAATACTCTAAACTCTATGTACTGCAGTGGCCCAAAGTAGCAATGATTCATGTAGTATAAATCTCAATGAATGGCGATATTGACACTTCAGTACTTTCTGTGTGTTGCATCACAATATTTCTGTTTGTTGTCATCGGTATCCCTTGGCAACCTATAGTATATCTTGCATTTAGAAACGCTAGAACAAGCAATTGCATGGAACTCCGTGCTTGTTTATTGCTAATATACTAGTTGCGTAACATTGCCGTTTCGTATTTGAGCGCATTCGAAACATATACTGGTTGTCAAATATGGTCAGAAACACTCCGTACCCACTCGAGTGGTTGGAGTGCATGTTACTATCAATAGCAACGAGTAGTGCTTGTAATACAATTTGAAATTTAATAATAATAACTCGAACATATTTCAAATTTGTTACCTATGAATAGTTATGTTGTAATTAGATTTCATCATTCAATTCGTCATCCCTGATCACGGTAGTTACACACGCTACGTGATGTGTGTCGAAATCGCATAATCTTGGATAAGTATGCATGAACGAATATAAAATTCAACTGATGTACTGTGTTAAACATTTATAATAACCTCAAAATATAAAATTATATACTCAAGTTTCACTTTATTTGGTGACGCATGGAAGTCTATTCTCTATGCGACACACTCTATAACCGTACAAAAAGTAGCTTAAGTACGTAATTGAGGTTTCGAACTTTTAAATGTGAATCTGCACGTCTACATCTTGTATATATAAGTGAGTAAATAAATATTTAAACCGATGTCGTGTAGCATGTCTGAGATTATTCATTTATGAGACGCTCAATATGCCAACGGCTAAAATATATAATATGTCAAAAATGCACGCACGCCGGTGGTTTCATAAAACATGATTTCGGTTTCGGTTCAAAACGAAACAATCATAAAAATGTCGGAGAGGTACGGAGATGATATTGCAAATGTAATATATTTTAATCTATATATATATCCCTTATTTAACTTCTGTCATTTTATTTTAGTTTCTGGAGCATGTGGAGGGCAACATCACTGAGCGTTTGCAAACGCCACGATTCATGAGACACATCGCTATTTGCGTGAATCCTGACATCGTTCGAAGTGGCGTCGGAACTATGATGATGCAGAAATCTGTTGACTATGCACGAAACCACGGCTTACGCTATATGGTAGCAACGTGTTCCGGTCAGGTTGCCACAAAACTTGCATTGAAAATGGGATTCAGAGTTGTTCGACAAGTGCTGTATGAAAAATATTCAGACTCTGATATGTATTTCTCCTGCTTTCCGGATGACTGCTTAGTGAAACCAGCAAGTTTCAAGCCTTTCGTTTCAGTAGCTCCGCAACATTATTCTGCAAAATTACTTATAAAAAACGTTTTATAATTTATTTTTATCTTTCACGCACATTGTATATTATACATATATATATGTTAGTATGCAAAATCTTGCAATTTGATTATATGTGAAGCTCGTTTTATTGTTTTGTCTAATTTATTATACATATTTTATTTATATATATATAAAAATTGTTTGTAGTTTCAATATATATACCTCATTGTTCAGATTGCTCAGTCATAAATTTATTTTAACACTCACTTTTATGAACTCGTTCATTTAAAATGTCGATTTTATTTTATTTCGCATCTTATACGATAAAAATTGAAAATGCCAATTTTGTTTTCAGCAAAACCTGAACAGTGGATCCAATATTTCTTGTTTTACTACGTGAATAATTTTGTTTTGATTTGTTTTCAAACCCGATTTTATCATCCTAAATCGTGGTTATAAAATGTCAATTTGCGTTTCGAAAGCAAGTCCACGTCACGCTAACCGAAAACATTTCAGATTACGAGTCACCGGAAGACTCTTGACCTGGAATAGTTGTTGGTGGACATTTTATTCTTGAAATAATTGTTTCCGCCAAAACAATGCCTTTGCGTGCAACAGTATTCGTTTATTTGTTGGTGATTTTCTTACTATTCGGTTATGAAATTTATAGTATTTATCATTTTTATATTTATTTAAACTTTTATGCAAAATAAAATATAACTTAAAGACATGTTCTTCAGATGCATAGTATGGGAAGTGAGCGCAAGGTCTGGGCTCCTATTCAAGAGATGATAAATATCAGAAATATCAGAGTTATGTTTGATGAAATCATTGTATACCAAAAAATGTGATAATCCACAAAGATTGACTACTGGTTGTATGTTACTTTCGAATCTCTTTCGAATCTTAAACCTACAGTACATGTAATATATATATATATATGACAGTGAGAGTATGTGGAACTGCTTTCACAGACCACTCTAGTTGGCATAATGTCAATGTGTTCTAGTCCTTAGGGAGGCAGACTCACTCTTAACACAACGCACATTAAAGTTTCAATATTCGTTTATCGAAAAACTTGACCATGCTTTTCATGTTAAAAATATGAAAAAGTGTCAACAAATGAAAATTCCCAATGAATAATAACATAAAAAAGTGTGAAAAAAAAAACAATAATTTGTGTTCTGGCGATTACAACCCCTACAAAATCTAATTTTGATGTAGTTTTGTTTATGCCAATTTCGTTTTTCCACGTAAAATTGCTATGACTGAGGTCTATTGGGATCATCGAAATTGTCCTTAGACAATTGATAAATTAAGTAGAAAAGCACACAAAAATTAACTCCGATATGAAATCAACAATATCCTATCCCGCAGGAAATAGTGATAAATTAAATATATAAATGCACTTGCTCTGCCTCCATGCCATTAAATATGGTTCCATTACATTTGAACCCACGAGAATTGCACCTGCATACTATTGCATCTATGGACATTTTTTTTTGTTTCACGAATATTTGAACCCATATTAACCCTAACCCATGGGTTTTAGCACCTACATATAGATTGAACCCGCGGATATACACATGGGTTTAAATGTGCGTGGGTTAAAATGTTCGGTCACCTTAAATATATATATATATATATATATATATATATATATTATAAAATGTTAACAGATAGTTACATAAAAAATCTTTTTTTTCAAATATTCTACAGTCCACAAGCATACACGAACTGGCAATTGCATAACTAGTTTGAAAACACACAATTAATGTTTTGAAATAAGGCACTCAGGCAATGAATAAGTAGCAACAATACACCCAAACCCAACGATTTGTTGTGGTCTAATAAGTTTATCGTCTACCCTTCTACTTCCGGCACAGTAAGGCCTGAGAGAACCAAATTTTTTAACAAGGTCATTGCACCATTTTTTGGTAAAATACCGGGATCTATAGCAGGGGAAATTTGAAAAATGAGCTTGTTATCTTTTTAGGGTGGCCGATTTTAGTTTGTTCAACCACTGTTATTGGTTCAATAGAAGACATTAAAAAAAATCAAATAGTATGAGACTGCGTTTTTTTTTTCGAATTTTCAAAATTAGTAGACCCCAGCTGATCTAATGCTAGAGAGACTCCGGAGTGATGTAGAATTGGGGTTGAGATTTCGGACCAAGTTTTTGAAATCCCGGTATCGGGATATCCCGGGATTGAGCCGTATAATCCCGGAATTTTTGGGATTAAGTAAAAGATTGAAACAAATGGAATGACAATAAAATCACGTATTTATTTCATGTAATATAGACGCATAAATATTAGAGCATCTAGGACTGTGTTTCCCAACCTTTTTTATATATCGCGGCACACAATTTAGATCTTTAAATATTCGCGGCACAACTATCATAAAACACGAACATTTTCTACTCATAAACTATTCCGATTTTTAACTTTTGGGTCGGGTTTGATCTTTCTTGTCACCGTTTGTAAATTAACTGTCCCAATTTTGAGCTAAAAATATTATCATTTCCGACGCCGGAATGTGGATATTTAGGAAGACGATAGCTGACCTTCTTGATTTTACTTTTTATTGTGGCTGTTTTATTTTCGTACTGAATAGTGAATAAAAACCATGCAAAGTTATTGCGTGAATCCTGAATGCTATTTTGAGTTCAAATTATGATTAAATAAGTCGCAATATTGGCAATTCTTCTTGTCAAATAATAATTCCTTGGTACAATTTTAGAAAAATTTCGCACAATAATTCCATTCTGACTGACTCAAACTGTAAGCGTGGATGGCTTTTTTCAAAATAAGTATTAAATAAAATGGTATCCCTCCCATTTGTGAGAATATCTATTTGTGGATAACAAAGCCTTAATCCCGGGATTTTTAGGAAATAATTGCGGGATCGGGATCCGGGATTGAAAAAAACAGTCCAACTCCCGATATTTCGGGATTGGGATTTCTCGGATTCCCAACCCTATGTAAAATAGATCACCCATGATTAGGCTTACCATAAATCTGAAACAAAAAACCGGGACGGTGCGATTTGGCAAACATTCGGTTGATTGCCAGTCTTTGTAATATTGAAACGTCTACCAAGTCATTGCGGGTATATACGGCTCTAAATCTCTATACTGATCATTGAATTAGAAAAAACACAAAAAAATAGTTTGTATTATTTATTTAGACCAAAAGTATTTGTTCGCAGATGAACCCTTCTCAAAAATTCTGTTTTGATTTTGTCATAAAACTGATAACAAGAGACATCACCATCAAATTTGCAGGTTACGAGTGCTTTTATATTTTCTTCTGGCATTCTGAACCTGCTTCCAGACCAGAAAGTTTTAACAATGGAGAAAAAATCTGTTCAACAGATGCCGATGTTCCGGCAAACAAAATCAACGAGTTTCTGCAAATTCGAAATGCTAATATTCTGTTAGAAAAACGTTAACATCTCTGTCCACTTAAATTCAACCGCAAAGTAAGCCAAATTGCATTTGAACCATGCTCAGATAAATATCTCCTTATCAGTATTCGTCGAAAAGTGCATCTCTATTCAAAACCTGACTAGCTAACCGAACATATCATTTATCAATTTTGCAAACCAAACACTTTAGTCCAGTTTAAATCACCCATAATTTGTCCATATGTGGGGCCTGGGGAGCATTTTAGGCTTCATCATGCAGCTCTATATACCGCAAACATTCTTTTTAAATACAGTTACATCGATTTCGCCAGAGCGTTCCAAAGATTCCAGAAGTACAAGTGATTGCGACGGAATTAACAGTCTTCACCCTTTTTCCTTCAAATTTAGCTTCACCTCTGGACATCTACGGCAGGCTTGGCAACCTTTTGTCGCTCGCGGGACAAAATTAAGGGCTGCGAGTCATTGGCGGGCCGTACATATTTTTAGAAAGCTGAAACCGAACGAATGATACTTTTTATAATAAAAATCAAGCAGTAATACATCTTTCGAATAGAATTATAGATTTATTTCCTCATTGCATCGCAAAAAATTGCATTTGAATATTTTTCAGCGCCATTGAACCCTTTGCACTTCGCATCATTTTTCTGCGTTTTGTTCCATTTGTCTAATTATAATTAAATTATAGGCTCATTAAACGAGTAGTTGTGAATTATATACTTGTTAGGTTATAATATAATTTAGTTTTAAAAAATATAATCGTCAAAACGGCTGTTTTGTTACTATAATTTAGTGAAGCGTCACGGAGCCGGATTATAATATTCTGCGGGGCCGATCCGACCCTGGAACCGTAAGTTGCCGACCCCTGATCTACGGCATTAGTATTATCTTTTTTCAAAATTAAAATAATTTTTGTTGAAGTAGGTGAGCTGGCAAAGGACAAATTTCAAGTGGAAGTTCGTACGCTGGAACATTTAAGCATAAGAGTAGGACATCCTTCTTGAGAATTTGAATAACTTATCAAGCTTTCAACAGTTCCGTAATCCTTTGCAAAGCAGGTAATAAAAGGGAAAACCCGAGTGTTGCCATGCTGTAATAGCCGTTGATACTATCAACAAAATCGCAGAATGATTTCTCCTCTGTTACTCGGACAGTGTATATGTAATAATATTTATACATTTTGACAAACAACACAAACAGCAAAGTATCTACGACATGTTGAAAATGGCATCGCAGTGCACAGTTGAACTACATGGTATGCACAATCTATACCGGTTATATTTCTTTTAGTTTGAAAAAAGCATTATTTGTTTTTCGTCTTTTTACGCCTCCAAAGTTGATGTTGCAATTATCCGCACAGAATCCAACAACTTTTCCGAGAAAAGAGAGCAAGTATTCAGTAAAAGTTTTGGCGGTTTCCCTGGGTAAAGATTTGAATTCTAATAGTTTTATCTTCACACCAACATCAGGTAAAAAAATAACGAACCACAACTGGAACAAGCTTTAAATTCTTTCTGTTTGATGCATCGAAGGTTACTGATACGAAACTGGTTCAAAGTAAATCATCATTAGGTTCAGAGGAGAACAGCGGAGCAATTCAATTAAAAATCACCGACTCTCATTTATTTCTGGCTAAACGTGCAAAATCAGCGAATCCGCTTATCAGACAGCGGACATCAGAAATTCTAACTGTGTATATTTACAAGTTAATGCAAATTTAGGCTAAAAAAATCAAAATTAATTCAGAGGTGCAGTCAAAACTTTGTGTGATAAGCAAATGTCGGCTGCCAACGACAAACAATCATCCGAATTTGTTATCGCAAAAAATTGGTCAGTCGAGTCGATGCCTCAATTAATGTTTTGTGCTTCCTGCTTTGGATAAGATCGTTGACATCAGAACGACCATCTTATTCTTGACTAATAGAAAAACAGATCTGCAATGCGTACAGTGACCTTTCCTCCTTCAGTTTGCGCAAAACAAGGAAAATCTCCTTTCAACTCATTAGAAAATTTGTACTTTTTCTTATGGCATTTCGACAACTTAACGGCATTGTAGTTAACGCCAGAAAACGCATTAAAACAAATACCGATTGTGACATAACAATAGAGCAATTTTTTACTCTCTGAATTAGCGAAGTGTGTCGCAAAACAGTGGTGAATGGGCTGCCACCGTTAAAAAATTGTAACAATAAGGAATATGAATTTTTCATCCATGACAGCCGTGCTGACAAACCGGGACATTTGAGTCGACCGGCCGGGACGCCGGGACAGCTCGTCAAAACCGGGACTGTCCCGGCTAAACCGGGACGTATGGTAAGCCTACCCATGATGGTTTTTGAAGATAGATTTAGGAGGCCATCGCCGATAATAATAATTAATATTATGAAATATTAGTGAATGCGCGAAATCAAAATATCCAGAGCACAGAATATCTGATATAAATAAAATTGACAACCGTCGTCTTCAGATGCCCGGGACCGGTTTAATAAAATAATTTCAATTTGTTAATAAAGTCGCGGGGTGGCGTGATAGAGAAGCAATCGTTGGATTGTCGATTTGATGTGAATGCCAAGGCGATGTTTGCTTTCTGTATTTGGGGAGTAAACGTAGACCGGGTTTGTTAATATTCCTCGTAAAAAAGTCATAATAACAAACTTGCCTAGCTCCATGAGTTCTGTAATTCTAGAATCAGATACTATAGTTAAGACAATGTTCTTCAGCTTTCCAAAGTTGCATGTACCGTATGTAGACTCGCTTTCTTCAAGGGCCAAGGCTGACATTGCATTGTTATACTATACCTGTACCTGTGTAACTTATTGAGTTATTTTGTGTTGATACAACCCATGCATGGGTGGTGGAAAGTTGAGAGGAGGGGCTGGAGGGTGGAATTGTTTTGTGGTTTAACTCAACCAAACAATATACCGGGCTCCCGAAGTTTGCAAACCAAGATGGCGGACATCTACTAGGTTAGGGTTAGGCCATAATTTTAGGTATAAATACTACGGGAGGCTCTTGGCTAGTCTTCGAACTGATAATAGGACTAAAATAAGGAAAATTGGAAAAAAATTATCGCCTAATCCAGTAACCCTAACCTGTTACCCATGTTACGTTCCGATGTCCGCCATCTTGGTTCGCATACTTCGGGAGCACCCAATATACTGACTGAGTGATCTTGTTCATATAATTGGTATAAACAGTAATATAGGTGCATGAATGCGAAAGATGTCAACTTTCTGACATTATCTGTCTATACTGATATGCTGATACAGTAGGACTCAATTCTCTGATTCCAAGATATCCCGACATATGATATGGTTCAATAAAATAAACCCTTTAGTTGTCTCTGAAACAAGGACATCTGGCACGACGGCAGATAGGCTACCATATGTCTTTATGTCAGATTCAGATCGCGGGACTACTGGACTATTCTTGGAATCAGAAAACTGTGTCTCACTGATGGAACTAATGTTTTACTTACTGCTGTACTGTGCTAAATATTGTAACTAGTTAGCAACAATAACCTTATACATCAGTACATATGTGATATTTTGAGATTTATTTATATTTGCTTACAGATTTTCATTTGGTTAGGAAACTTTCGTGCTTCAAATTTCAATAGTCAATCAGTCGTAGTACAGAAGAATTATGGTTTAGATAAGATCTCCAGTAATGAAACAGCTTGAGCTGTACCAATTTTATATTTGAAGACATTTTGCAACTTTGAAATGACTTCGGAGAACTCACTCTGGCTGAGATCTTTACTAGCTGATGTTCAGTTAGAACAATTTTATGCTGAAATAAGGGATGCATTGCAGGTGAGATGTGTGAGAATACTGGATCCCAAATCAAATATTCGAATCTTTCTATCAGAGTTAGTTATTCAGCATGAAGTTGTTCTATTCTTATTGCTATAAATAATCAAACATCATAGTGAAGTAAGTCAATGAGAGTTGAGACATTCGGATTTGAACTGTCATAGTAAATGCAAGTTTAATTCAACTAAAATCTTGAGTCGTATTTTTGAAACAACGAGTTTAATATATTAAAAATAGGATAAGAACATGTTTTATTTGTGATCAAGGTTGTTTAAAATCCAATTTATTTTTGTCAGTGTCCCTATATTGTTCAACAAATATATTTATAGGTCACAGAAATTTTTTTGAGAAAAGCTCATTGCAAGATCATGAGCACTTGATTAGAAGTAAATGAGTTTGTTCCCTGAGCAAAATTATGGGCGACCAATGATGGCAAACTAAATACTTATGAGCCGAACAATGCCACATTTTATGAATGCTATTTTTCAGGTCACCAGACTTTCTCATTTTGACTATGTTAAAAGTGAAGATTTGGACAAGATTGGGCTCGGTAAACCAGCTCAAAGACGATTGCTTGATGCAGTGAAAAAGGCCAAAGCTGCTCAGAAGAAGAAAAACAAGGTTTATAATAATCTTTGAAATAACATTGTTTGAATGCTTGAGGGTCTTGTCATCTGTTTATACTGGAGTGGGAGTTTGGAATATTTTTAGTTGGAACCAGACTTTATATTTCAAAATCCCTATTGCTAGAGTGGAAATTTTTGTTTTTCAACATGGAATTGAGGTCTAAATTCCTATGAACCAGGAGTCACAGCCGAAGTTTTTTTTTAAATTGCTTGAAACCTCCTAAAATGAATAGTTTGTTACATGGTATATACCGGTATTTTTATTCACTTATATTCGCTTATTTAATCTTCAAAAATTTCAGAATAAACCTGGAAATTTGAATATTGCTGCCAAAGATTTTGAAAGATCGAGTTTGACCTGTTTTATTAGTGAAAAAGAACTCACTCAACAAGAAAAGATTGGTGATGGATCATTTGGTGTTGTACGTAAAGGAGAGTGGACCACACCGAGTGGAACTACGGTTAGATTTATGTTGGATTTAGTAAAATATCTAGCACAGGTTGATGTATTCTCCTACATTTTTAGTTAATGGTATTATTTTGTTGATAGTATTATTTCATTTTTACAAGTATGACTTTCGAGAAGTTTGTTTGATTGTCGCTAATAATATGCCACATTGTTTGTTAATTTTTCCGTTAGTCAATTTTTTATTTATTTTAAACTTGGGAACTAGTGGTTTTCTGATAAAGGTAATTTGATACTCAGCGTTCTGATGTTATACACCAATTTTCATTGATTAAATTTGACAGAAGATGGTTTTTATTGGCAATCAATTGTTTTGATCATTAGCATTTAACACTCCCTCATAAATCATAACTCAATAAAAAAATTTTTTTGGTAAAATCCATGTTGTCCCGTCTTTTTAAGTTTGATGTTGTTCAGTTACTGGTACTGTCATTCACTAAGTTTGGAAATATGTGATGACTAATTACTCTGTAAGGTCGATATGATATAATCTTATGATTTAATCTATGAAAATAGGCAAATTATGGTATCTATGATCTATGATTTTATCTACGTGACCGCTGACCATAAATGGTTCTGAAACTGGTCACAGCAAGAATTTTTTTCATTATAAATTATTTTTTTATATTTAAAGTAGTTTTGTCTTGTCTCAATCAAGGATGGAACAATTTTTTTTGTATGTGTGAAAAATGGTTTGAACCTGACAAAGCCAGACATGTTTTGGTTTCCTATGTTCAGAATCCATTTAGAGAAGATGACATGGTTTCTTTCGTGTTAATTAATTTTAATTATAAGTTGTTCCATTACTGTTTTAACATCTTTGTCAGTATAATAAATGCTATGTGCAATTTGACTCAATGGTAACATAAATAACCAAATTGGCTGAAAGGAAATTTTTGAGAATATTTATCAAAGAAATTGTATTTAGGAAATACAAAGGAATTGTAATAAAATCAGGGTTTATGTTTTATAAATTCATAAAAGTTATGTTATACCACTTTTTCAACTATACTGTATATGGTAACTATATTCTACTCTTTTATTCATTTTTAAAGTAATACTAATACCAGAGATGTCCAAAACTAATTGCATATTCAAATCAATTCAAAATAAATTGTATTTGATATTCAATAATTTTGATTTTCAGAAATTATTTAGAATAGTTTCAATTAAAAAAATTATCATCTTCAGTGATGAAGTCTCACAATATGACCAACTATAAAAATGACACTGAACTATAAAAATAGATAATCAAACAAATCACTGTTTATTTATATAAACTTTTCTGCGTTTCCAAATTCAAACTTATTGACTTCCATAATATGTACATGTCCAAATTTAGTTCTCAGGATATTACATTATTTGCTCTGGTCTTCATTTATTGAGACACATCTGGAATGGTTAACCTCCAGTAAAATAATGTGCAATTCATATATATTAGTATCAATGTTTTAAATTTTTTAGTAGGTGCCAAAAATTTTTGACTCATACTTTCAAGTTGTTAACAAGTTCGTGTCAACCAAAGGTAGCCGCCAACTTGTCTACTCATAAATTTCTTAGTTCAACATTTCCTTTTCAGATCGCTGTCGCCGTGAAAAGTCTAAAGTTGAACATGTTGACAGAACCGGAAGTATTTGAAGATTTTGTAAAAGAAGTGAATGCAATGCATATGCTCGATCATCCAAATCTCATTCGATTATATGGAGTTGTTATATCATCTCCCATGAAAATGGTAAGAATTTTTGCTGCATTTTCTATAGGACGAACTAAAAATTTGGATATTGATCCACTAGTGTTCTATAAGCGGGTTATCATATCAACATCCACGTTTTGCCTTTTGCCCAGGAAATAATAATTCACATGAATGTAGAACGATGAAGATTTTATTGCATAAAGTTATAGGAGAAAATTGCCTAAGATATGTTCATACTTATATATACTTTTACTTTGGAAAAAAAAGTAGAAAATTTCTGGAAATTTAATATTATTCCCTCTTTTTGTCGAGATAATCATTGATTAGAGTATTTGTCCCATTACCTATGATGATTTATTTGTATCCTAGCAGTATCCATATTTATAGTTATTTCACTGTTCTTTCTATTGGTGCAAAATTGGAATTAGGATTTAAATTGTTTCGTAAGAATTCATATTTCTGGATATTAGTTAGCTTTTAGTTGAATACTGAAAAATATTCGCATAATGAAAAGTTTTCTCCTTTTATGGCAAATTCAATATTGTTGTTTTGTATTGACCGTCAGTATAATCAACAGTTACGAGCCTAAACTATTGTAAATATTCATATATTTTCACTCATCTATGTTGAGACTGACACTCTGGTATGCAGCGATATCCACAGGCTATATTCAACTGTTTTTGTTGTTTCTTTTGACGTCATTGTCTTTGTTATTCTTAAAATCTCTGGAATGTACACATTTAATTAAACTACTAATATGGCCATATTGATAATACTATGAATTCAGTTTCTATCTGCCATATATGAATGAATTATGTTGCATTTTGTAACTAACTTTTCTCCTAACTGATTGGTGTGTGTTGTAAACAAAGATTAGCAACAAAGTTAAGCCTTTCTGTGTCAAAAGGTGAATTTGTTTTAGGTCTCTTTGTTTAAGCTCAAGTTTTAGATCACAATATCATTCATAAGCATTGTTTGCTTATGTTATTTTAAGTTGAACTCTGTACAGTGTGTGTACAAGGTTAAGGTTAGGCCATAATTTTATTACGATTTTCCTTGTTTTAGTTCTGTTATGGGTTCGGGGACTGTATGTGTTAGCCAAATGAATATACCCCCTGCCCATAGTTTTCAGTACTTTACACAACTTGATGTAAAGTAGGCGAACAAAATTATTTATCTTCATATTGGGACACACACTTCTGGAGTGTCGTTTATTATTCTATTGTTCATGTATGCCGTTCATGCAACCAGGGTCACTATTTTCTATTATCTGTAATGCAGTATAAATTATTATTAATCGCATAGTTTTTCTCCCACTTTATAATGAAGGGAAGTACAGACATGTACATTGAAATTTATTCCAATTTATACCAAGCTTGATTTATTCCACATTTACAGTAAATTTATAGATTTTATATTTAATATAATTTGTAGAACTTGATAAACTTATATCCTTGATAAATCTTAAATATTGTTCTCAGAACAAGTCTCTATGCAAACAGCCAATTAAAAAAACTAAGAGATTGACCAGAATTTTTGTGGATTGGCATAACGTAACAACTTTAATAAATCCTAGTTAGCTGGTATGTCTTACTAGACCTCTAGGCTCATCAGCCTAGAAAACAGACCTATTCAATCTGTATTGCCTTTATTGGCTAGTTAGCACAATGTCATTACCACTAGTTCATTTCACTCCATTATTTTTTCTGTTTTATTTCTATATATGCTTTCACACAATGTTGTGGCATATAACCTACTAGAATATGTGTTTGAAATTTAGATGAAATATGTTACCCAACCCATGGAACTCGTCCTGTTTATAATAGTTATATAGTTATACCTTTTTTTTTTTTTAGGTCACTGAACTTGCAAATTTGGGTTGTTTGCTTGATCACCTAAGAAAATTTCAACGTCATGTTATTTTCACGCTCTGTGAATATGCTGTTCAAATCGCCACTGGGATGGCTTATCTTGAACATAAACATTTCATTCATAGGGATCTTGCTGCAAGAAATATATTGCTGTCTTCCAAAGAAAAAGTGAGTTGAAATATGTGGTATTAGAATTGTAGTGAATTCGGATTAATGGCAGAATCTTAAAAAATTTTCCAATCAGTTATGTGAAATAAACTATTTGTTCGGTTTCTGAACTTCTGATTAAAAAACTTTAATAGTTTTTCTTCTTTACTCTTCTTGTATCTCACAAGGTGGGATTGGCCATATAGTACTTTCATATCGCATTTTTTAATTCAGAAACCTGATTTGAAGTTTTAGAAATTTCCAGTAGGTTTGGTATTTTTTGTACAATGGTGGAGGTTATAATAAACAAACCATTTTTCTATTCTCATGTCAATGCTTAGAACTTCTTGTCCTTATACAGTTCTTTTGCATCGATTTGCTTACTTTACAATATTTTTAACATAGCTGGCGTCTCATACAAATTTTATTCATATCTTAAATCTGGGTAGCCTTATCAGTTTTAGTTTTGTATGTTGTCTATATTTTGATTTATAGTTTCATACTTCACTTATACTACTATTGCTTTCATCAGGTAAAGATTGGTGACTTTGGTCTCATGAGAGTTCTTGATACTAAAGATGATCATTATGTCATGGCAGAGAAAAGAAAAATACCTTTTGCTTGGTAAGTTGGGTAACTTTTTAGGGTATTCCCGTAGTGTGTGTACCAGGTTAGGGTTAGGCCATGATTTTCCTTGCCCACAGGTTTCAGTCCCGTCATACAACTCATGTAAAGTAGTTAAGTAGGCAAACAAAATTAGTTACCTCCATAATGGTACACACACACACACTTCTGGAGCTCCCTTTTTATTACACAAGAAATGAAAAATCTGCGTTTGTAAAAAAATATTACCTATATTGTCCAGAAATATCAATACAATGCAATTTACAATTTTTTTTCTATTTCAAGTGGCAAATATTATAGGACCTAATCTCAATCATTATATTGTAATTCTATCCTATGATATCCTAAGAAGCAAATTCAATGATACAAACTTTTTCTGTTACATTTTGCTGAAATAGCTTGCTGAGTGTAATACAGTGCATTTCTAAAGTACCCTTGCGATTTTAGTTTTGCTATCAAATCAGTTCTCAATATATCTTATTCTTAACCTGTTTTTATTATTTCAATCAGTTTGCATTTAATTTTTATTATAACTTGCAGGGACCAGCAAACTTATATGATATCAATAAATTCCCTATGCAATTTTAAAAATCTCAAAACCTCATGAATATATCCTTTAAAAAAAAAAAAAATTAATATACATGTATGTTACCTTATGCTGAAAAAGGCTTGTGAATTTAATAGAATATGCAACCCTAAAATCGGTATTTATTCACTACAGTTTTACTACAATGCTTTTTCTTTTTTAGGTCTGCTCCAGAATCTCTAAAAAGACGTCAATTTTCCCATGCAAGTGATGTATGGATGTTTGGAGTTACATTGTGGGAAATGTTCACTTATGGACAGGAGCCATGGTTAAGTTACAATGGTGCTCAGGTAGGTCCAGATCCAAATGCATTCGTTTTCAGTAAGTGTAATCGTATGTAATGTATGTAGGGAGTTTCAAAATGAACGGTTTTGTTTAGTTAGTAGCAAATATGAATGATAACTGAGGAATTTCATATTTATATTTAGTTTATTGGATATATTTAAAGATGTTTTTTTGAGTAATTTCCATTATCCATTTTTAACTTGGATTGTTGTGAAATATTTTAGGTTTTGCCTTTTCCACTTTACTGAAGGTTGAAGTAACAGAAAAATTTCTATTTTGTTTTGTTATGTGTTTTCCTATTATTTATTAAAGTCTTTAATTCTTTCAGATATTACACAAAGTAGACAAAGAAAATGAACGATTATTGCAACCAGACAATTGTCCGAATAATATTTATAGATTAATGTTGAATTGTTGGAGGCTTCAACCTGATCAAAGACCAACATTCAAACGAATAAAAGAAGTCATTCCCCAAGTAAGAAAACTTTCATCATTATTTGAAAATGTAAATAGACTTGTTTGATTATTGAACATGATTTATGGATTATTTCACTGAAATTTTGTTTATGGGGTATTGTTATTAAGAATAAGATTGCTGTTCTACTGGGCCAATCAATTTTAAATTTGCAATACCCAAAAATGGAAGAAGTCGCTATAATGCTAAATACTTGAAAATTTTTTTAAACTTCTTTTCGGGTGATATTGGACCTGATATTTTACCAGCTGAATCAAATTTTTTTACAAACAAGACATTAGAATATAAAACCAAATTCTAAATTGAAGACGAGTAAAAGAATTTTCATCCAAATATTTTTGCGCCAAATTACTCTCCTTTCATTTTCTATGGCATTAATTTTGTACATATACGATCATTTACAAGATATAAAATGTACGGTAATTGTGATTAAATTCTTATGATGAATTATCTTTCTCTTATTATCTTGATCTTGATAACTAGTGAAATTTAGGTGTCATATTTCATAAAGTATTGCAGAACATTTCTTAATTTCTAGATCTTTATCATCAACAAACGCTAGGTCGTTTGTCAGAACATATACTTTGCTTTGGATTATATTTTTTCTCCCAACTCAAATTGGTCCTATTGATCATGATTCTCAATCTATGCATTGCATTCCTGAGTAATGAGCTTTTTACAACTTGACAAGGATTCGTTTCATGTTGTGTATGTGTATGTATGTACCTTGCATATAGTGTTTGTAAGTTAGTTGTAAAATCGTACTAAAATGCATGTAGGTGAGACATGTTTTAAGCTTGCTGTTTTTGGACGATTTTTTCAACCCTTGTAACCTTCCCGCTGGCTGGGAACGCCAATCTCTTTTTATCCAGACACCCTCAGTTTGTTATGCCTTGCATTAGGTGGGCCCATGCTTATATCTATTGCTCATACAATGCCAATACACTAATTATTATGTCGGTTGAAATATCTAATATTTATCTTATGGTCCTATATTGTGTCAAAATTGTGTGTTATATTAGTGTCAAGGCCTAGCGATCCTGGTTGAAACTCCATGACCAACCTTTATGTAGTATATTTTGTAGCAGTGCACATTTCATTGACTGCTTGTCTTTTGCCTAGTTTGGAAAAGATATGTGTAAAAGGGTTATTGCTAATATGGTTCACTAGAGGTGTTCTCATTGACTTTTCCATATCCAAGGATAACTATAAAATCCTATTTTATATCTGGGATTTAACTTGAGGGTTAAGAAGTTAAGCTTCCCAACAGCATTGCTGTTCAGTTCGAGAATATGATCATACATGGTCCAAATGTATTTTGAAAGTTTCTTCCTAGTTTTCCAATCAATCAATAAAATACTGGAGATCAATAGTTTTAATCTTGATTGTAAATATAACAATCAAAAACTTTTTCATTAATTACTTTTTAAGTTATTTCTTTAGTATAACAGGGCATATGTGTGTGTGGCATATATCACTAATTTGACGTTTAATATTAAAATAATATTATTAATGGCTAAAAGCCACTAAAGAGGATTATACTTTCGATAAAAACATCTTGTAATAGATAAAATGTCAGCTTGTGCCAAATTATGAACAAACAGATACTCCTAATTTGAGATGTTATTAATATTTTCATATTTATTATATAATAGTTCATTAGTTCGCTTTTATTAATTTCCATTTTTAATAATCATTGATGGCAGGAAGTCACTGACATGTGACTTCCTGCCGGTCATATACCGGTTATAAACATCCTTTTCAGTGATGGACCGTTACTATTTGCATATTATTCTATTCTGGCATGTACATTCTGCCTAATGTTCCTTGGCATGGATCGAATGCACAATTTTAACAGACAATCACTTCCGTCCGCCTGCACGATTTTTTAACGTGATCTAAAAAAAATGGACTTCCTATCCGCTTTGTCTCATCGCATGAAAAACGCTTGTCGCTACTTGTATCTCGTCATTTTTCTTCAGATGTTCCCGAAAGAACTTCTCTCGACCTGTGACCTCAATGAACCAGATCGACTGAAAATCATGAAAGGAGACAAAATCACTGTTATACGTGGAAGGTATGTGATAAAGTTTTTTTCAATTTCTGTAAGATTTTATTTTATTTTTATGAGCTCTGAATAGCTGTTCGTTATTTAATAATATCATATTCTCGTATAGGATTTTGGGATGGTTGTCTGTACTTTGTCAAGTATTGCAATAAAGACCTGCATTAAATTAGGTGAAAATACTTTGATGTGCTTCGTGCACCAAATGGTGGAAATATAAAGGTGTATTAAAAGGAGTGAAAAACTTGAATAAACACTGGTTATACATTGAAAACTGACTTCAAAACAAAATTTTGATTGTAACTGAATTTTATGATCATTTACATTATTAATGCTTTTGCTTAGTTGAAATGGCCTAGCTCAGGGGGATCCAAACCCAGGCAACTTCATTATCTGTGGCCCGCGTTACATTCGGAGAATAATTAAAAAATCGCATTTCGTGTTGTTTCGTAATAAAATTTAGCAGAAAAATCTTTTGAGAAAATTGTTACATCTCTAATGTCACTGAATTGACTAGTGTTGTGGCTAACAGAGGCAACTAGCGAAGTTGAATGATGTGCTTGGCAGTCTAAATTATTATCTGGCTTTTCATCTTTTTGGTCGGGAATATATGCTAACAATACAGGCATCATAGAGAACTAAAAAATCGAATGCGGATTCTTTTACCCTTGAATGGCTGTGTCTGATAACTATGTGTTTGCACAATAAAAGTGTTTGTTTTGTATTGCACTGTTTACCTATTCTTGGCACTATTGTGGCCTGCGAACAATGCAAAAATAAATTTGTTGCCCGCGGAGCCCACAACCTTGAACCAGCCTGACCTAGCTTATCTTACATAATATATTAATCTAGGGTGTCTAAAAACAGAATATTTTATAGTAGTGTGTTGTTTATATATTTTAATCCGATTAAGAAACAATAATAATTGAACTCATGTTCAAATAATAGTTTAGCTCACTGATTTTGCTTTTTTTTCAAGTTTTTGTAGTTGATGTAAATTTATTCATGAGTTGTTGTTTGAGTTGAGTTGGTAATCCACACATAGGGAATTCTCATTTCTACATTGTATTTAATTTTAATTTTAAATAACCTGAATTGATTTATAATTGCAGAAGAATCATGGTTTATGTAAAATTTGATCACTAAATCACTGCCTGTATATCAAATAATTCTTGAAAGTATTGTATTTGTATAATAACTGCAGATGCAATAAAATATTATTGAAAATAATTATATTTGTATTATAAATACTGAAAAAAATTTAATAAATTAAATTTAAATTAATTTAATAAAAAATTTAATAATAAATGCTGAGTAGTAAATGCTTTCTACATATCTAGTAGAAATATCAATTATTAATTATCCACAATTTCTATTTTGATTCAATATTGCTCGTTTCAGGGCCGAACATCATTGGTGGAGGGGGCAAAATAAAAGAACACTGGAAGTTGGAGTTTTTCCAAGACTAGTGACAAATTCAGGTAATTAATAAACTTAATATGTTAATTTATTTTGTTTGTCTGTTTGTAAATTAGTCAAAAGTATGGTCTCTTTTACGTTCTACTTCATTGGGTAATGATATCAATCTTTTATGCCTGGCCAAAGTTTTTTTTCTTTCTAGAAAGATGTCAAAGATCTAAATTCTAATACATAAAAATTTTAGTTTTAGATTCCTAATTTCAAAATTTACCATAATTTTTTTAACTACTCGCGGTAGAAGCAGTTTTTATATTTTTATTTTGACTTAATTTGCAGTATTGTTTAGATTTTCTATTAAGCGTCATCTTGACCAAATTTCAGAACATATTTTCACCACGGTCTGATATTGATTAATGGGGCGAATACCAGGCATATTTATCTATTGACTGTAAACATTATCGCAAGCCTTATCTCACTAAGGAGATAATCTGCCAGTTACACTTATATTATTATTAAGTGCCCGCCCCGGTTTCCCTTTTCAGTGGCCTATTCTCCTTATACGTAATTTGACGTCGTCTACCAGTAAATAATATAGCGTTTTCCATGAGAAACAAATTTAAGAGGAAATCATGATATTTGTACCTTTTGATCAGATTATTTTGCCGGATTGATTAAATGTAAATTTTTTGTCATTGAAAGGGCAAGATGGATTCAGTCGTGATGATATCAGCCGTCCACTCAAAAACTCGTTTATTCATACTGGACACGGGGATATTGACCCGACTCGGAGTTGGGGATTTCACGAACGAATTGATGAGTAAGGGTTTGGTTACTTTGTAATATTTATTTTGTTGTTTATATTGTGTTTTAGTTTGGACCAATCATGGGGAACTTATAAACCAAACCTGAATGACTTGATGTAACCTGCCTGTTTAAATATTTACTCTTCATTGTTAAAAATACTTGCTGATTCCATGTATGGCCAATCAAAAAATCACAAATATGATTTTGATGAGTACAAATAAGCCTCGGGCCAGATTTGACTCAACATAAAAATACCTGAAATGATTATGTTATTCAACTATGGTTCGTGCTTGAACTGATGATGCATCATCATCATAATTGACCCAGTCATAGGTCACCATAATGTTTATACTCTGTATTTGCCAATAAGGATTTTCTCCTAACTTGTATCTTAGTCATTTAATGCCAGAAGCCTGAGACACGGCTGGGTGATAGTACACTAGTGCACAGGAGACGATCGTTAAACAGTCTGTCACCTATGTCTTGAAATGATATTTTTTGAATTGGTTGTACAGAGAATAAGGATATAAGGATTTAGAATTGTTGCTTTTGTGGCTTTGTCAGTGAGTTGTAGCAAATACACAAAAAGGATAATGATAGTATAGGCTGTAGAAAATATTCGTATATTGCAAAACTCGTATGTTCGTAAGTCTTTTCAAAGATATTTTAATAAGTATTGGTTTGTAATAGGGAAAAGGGGTATTTGTAGTTTATTATAGTTTGTTTGTGTTATTCAGTATTCTTAAAATTTTGAAGGTATTGTTAGGATGTCTGTTTTGTTTATATTTAGTGTTGGTTTCGGAATCAGTGTCGTTTGCAATTTTGTAATATTTAGTCTAACAATGAGAAATTAAATTATATTTACTGTAAAAGCAGAGTGGAATGCTCTTTAGTGAGAGATTGAAAATCATTGATTGAGATAATTTATCATTCTTGAGTTTGGCAACCAATGCAGAATGCAGTTAATAAATAATGAATAAACCTATGCTAATGTATTCAAACTTCTTATGTAGTTGCATTGTGCTTTTTGGGACATTATATTTTATGGTATTATATGAAGATGTTTTCATTCGAATATTTGGGCATTTTAGAATGCTATCTTGCAATTCATTTAGATTTGAAATCATATCTTTTTTTTTAGAAATATGATAATTTTTTGACATTATGATAGTATCAAAGATGTCTAAAAAGAATCAAATATTTAAATAATTTGAAATTGGGAATATTTGACATTAGCAAATTCAATTCCTATACATTTGAGATAATTTTGCGAATTCTTTTTTTTTTTTAAATTACCCAGTTTAAATTATATCGAAAACGTTATTTCAGGAAGTATTCCTAACAGTAAATTTTTCGATTTTGGCCATCCCTGGATAATATGTAAATGAATTATGTGATGTGAAGTATGACCATAAGTCATTTAGCGTACTTATCAGAAACATTAGTAATTTCTGCTATCTAAAAATTTGTAAAAAACATATTTAAATGTCCTTCGCATCAAATTTCATCTATAGCTAAATTATTTTATCCTTAGCCCTGTATGATGTGTGTATTTAAGCATGCAGGGTGAACCAAAAAAACAGACACATAAAATTTTTTTACTTCTATGAAATCAAAAAAATTTTATTTAACCATTGCACTTCTGTTTCTGTATGATTGTACCCAAAGTGTTTCAGTAATCTTGGAAGCTTTGCATAAAAGTTATATTCTCTCTAGAACAGTAGTTCTCTTTGAGGGCGGGTGATGCTAATGAAAAATAAAAATATTTGTTAGATTTGATTTTGTCAGTCTTATTATAGATATCTACATTTCTTTATTTTGAATATTCACGTTCCTTCCACATATTTTTGACATGTTTTTTGAATAAAACATACTTTCACCTTAGTTAGTTGTAGCTTATTGTTAGCTAGTTAGGGGCGCGAGACTTGACAAATTCTAAAAAGGAGGCAGGACTTGGAAAGTTTGAGAACCACTGCTCCAGAACATGTTCCACTGATCTGTGTTCTCTTTTTGTAATTGGTAATGGATTCTTCTTGCCACTTTGCCACTTTTGTACAAACTTCAGAACTCTTATTTATTTTTTCTCTATATTACAGTTAATTACAGTTACAGTTGTTATCATCAAAATGTTCTTCATTTTAGTCTCTACCTTGGAAATCCTATGGAACCACCCGATCTGGTTGCAATAGATAGTATAGAAAAAACCAACGACACAGAAGGAGGTAATTGCTTGAATAAAATTTAAATTTATGAATATTTCTCCCAGACATTATATAACACATCTGATAGGAGATCAGTGGTCTGGGAATTGAAAATGGCTTTCATCTCCACTTTCTGCAAAATGCGATAATTTATTGATTGATTTGCTGTGAATTTTTCTCAAGGTTGAAATTTGAATACTTCTATGAATATTTATCCAAATTTCTGTTACCAGCCTTACAATCTGACTTTAAGTGTAGGTCTAAGTGAAATTTTTTTTGTCTACAATTGGCATTTTTAATTTCAGTTTGGTTCTCAGCTCTGGGTCTTCAGTCCTTGTACATTTATTCCATCCATGAGCAGAATAAAATTCATTTATTTCTTCAATAACAAACTTGGTTTTGTAATTGTAATATTTATGATTGTGGAATCTGGATGTCCAAATGATTCGAATATATTGAATTTGCTTGTATTTGCTATAGTAAATTCTTGATTTTATGAATAATTTAAAATGGTTTAACTTGAAATTTGTCAATCTGGGCATTTATTTGATATCTGATAAATAATCAAGGCATAAACAGATTTCCTTCAACTTCTAACGGCGTAAAAAAATGGGAAATTTTTTTTTTACTAAGTTTATTTCTTATATATTTACAATGATTTCTGCATATTTCTCTATTGAACATGGTCATATTTGGAATATACTCATAATTCCATATTTGAATGTATTCCCATAGATGAATTATTTAGTTTGGGTCGTTTTAAATATGGCATTTGCTTGGTGATTTACATGGATGTTCTATATGGATTAGTTCATATTAATCTGCTCAAATTTACTTCATATATAGCATTAGCAACTTGAAAATATCTACTTCTTAAAAAAAATAAAATGATCTTTTTATCATATTAAAAAATGTGAATAATTCATATTTTTGTCATGTTTCATCATTTCCTGTAATCATTTTCTTGTTTTCGATTTTTTTCAAATTGATCATAAAAGCAACTCAATACACTTGATGACAGGTTGTAGGAGAAAAGTGCATTTTTCCTCTCTCAATGATACTAATTTGCTATTTCGAAGTAGAACAGAATAAACATGTTTTTTTTCCTGTTTTCATCATTCGACAAACACTTTTGGTTATTTAACATATTTCGCATACCATGATTTAAAAAAAGAATAAAATACAGGATGTTCACAAAGTCCTGTTACATTTTTCACAACTTAATTTCAGGATCTCCACCAGGAACAAGCAAAAGAATATTCTCTAAATCAGCTAAAGACAAATACAAAAAACTTGAAAACACTGTAAAATCGAAGTGAGTTTCACATATTTTATCAAAATATTTTGTTGATATTATCTATATTGCCAAAATTTATTGTAAACGGATATTATTGGATCTAACACGATAGTCGTATGATCAGTACATTTACCCAATAGTTCTGATTAATTAATTCAACATACCTAACATGCAGTTCTGAGCTATTGAATGAATTTGATATTTCCTTGTATAATTATAGTCAAATGCAAATAGGTGATTTAAGCTAGATTCTTTTTTGGTTTGCATAAATTAATCATAAAAATATTTCGAGCCCAGAGAAAATTTTTTGGCAATGAATGTTACTATGAATGCTTACAAGCTTGAGATGTCAATAACCAAGCAGTTTTAGCATTCTAGAAATCTGTCTTGCTTTCAAAAAATTATAAAATCATGAAACAATATCAATAAATCATGCCACAAATTATGCTTTTAATACAATATTTACAAAGAAACCAATGATAGTTTTCTCAAATAACACCAACTTTGAATTTTGTTTAACCATCTTAAGTTTTTCAGTTATCTCATCCTGTAACATTCTGTTTTTTGTAGGAACAGTATAGCCTCTTAAATATAAGTGGCTCCTTATTAAAATGAAGGTGCAAAACACTTCATACAAGTTATTATTTTCACTACCAAAACTTCTTTTTTGCTTACCGGTATGTAGTACAGAGGTGTGCAACATGCGACTTTCGGGCCAAATGCGGCCCACAAGGAAAAATTGTGCGGCCTGTGCAACGAGTTTCAATTCAGTTTAATCTGGTACGTGCAAGTAATTCCAAGCCTGTACTCGAGTCCAAGTTGTTCAATCTACACTTATGGTGTTACAATGCCCTCATGCCCTAACAGCTAGCTTGAGCGAAGCCAAAACTCATGTCATAAGATAGATACCATAATTTTGTGCCTGCAACTACTTCAGAGCCCATGTTAAATAAAGGTACGGCCCGCGGCTTCACCCAGTTATTTGTATTTGGCCCTACTGTATTAAAGGTTGTACACCCCTGATGTAGTGGATAAAAGGAAATCCAAAATAACTTTTTTTTATTTATTTCAGAATTGTTTGGAGAGAACCAAATAAATGTAAACAACCAACATCAATGGAAAACCAAAAGAAAACTAAAACTTCTACAAGACAGAGAAGAAGAAATTCCGCAGATTATCCAGGGTCACCTCCCGTAAATCATGAATATTCTCATCCTCCTGTTTCACTTGCTCGATCAAACTCTCAAGAAAATCCGAGGGTACATTCAGTACTGGATGAAAGTTTATCGCAGTCTCCAACAAAAGGAGGTAAGAAGACAAGATGTTAGTTTATATATAATTTTACGTTTGACTTTTTACGTTTTCAGTGCAAGGATTTTATGTGTCAGTGATTCGTTGCAGTTGTTTTTTGTACCAAGTCAAGCAAATGAATGATTTACGCCAGGGGTGTGCAACCTTTTTTATTGGCGGGCCGAATACAAGTAACTGGGTGAAGCTGCGGGCCGCACCTTTATTTAATTTAGGCTTTCTGGTAGTTGCAAGCACAAAAATTGCCTATATTTGCTATTGATCTTACGGCATTATTAGGGGTTCTTGCAGAAATAGTAGATTTAAAACGCATAAACTTCTGAAGAAACCGCTATTTAAATTTTTTGTCACACCGACTTCAGACGAATGCAGTGAGAAACACGTTTTTGTAATATAAATCGTGTATTTTGCAACAGAATTTTGCTAGCTTGTTTTGCTAATATGACTGGTATGGGCTTTGCGACGAAAAAGAATAAATACTCGTTTTGCGGGTACACCATTCGAAATTGTCATTCCTCCGCGGGCCGCACAACTTCTTCTTGCGAGCCGCATTTGCACACCCCTGATTTACACTATATCATTTGTGATTTGTAGTAGTTATCTGTAATAATATCTTGCTCTCAATAAGAATTTTTTTTGCAAAAAACGCTTATTCAAATATTTCATGTTTTTAGGATCACTACCTTCGCCAATTAAACCTTTCTACGCATCTGAAAATTTCTTTCCTGAAAATAATGATTCGAAAAATCAGTGGAAGACAGGGTATGATAATAAAGCTGCTAACCTTGCCGAGGTAAAGTTTTCTTTTTTCACCCGGACCAGATATTGCAATTTTTGCTTTTGCATGTTCATATGTATTTAAGTGGTGTCTTCAATTTTGAGTTGGTATTTGTGCATTTCGGTGGGGCTGATGAATTATTTTTTTCACCACACGTCTTTTCTAGTCATCTCTGGCTAATTGAACATATGCGATCATAGCCTCAATTATGTAGGATGTAGAAGTACAGTTATATATTATATATATAATAGCTTGACTAATAAGAGAGATTTGCCCTATTAAATTATGCACTATCTCTACTCTGGAAGGCTGTGTATCTATAAATGTATTCGAAGTGAGCAATGCAAAAGAACTTTGAATTTTCTGACGTAATACTAATTTTAATTTTAACCTAAGAAATGACATAATATAGAATATGGACGCTCCGGAAGTGTGTATACCAATATGGAGGTAACTAATTTTGTTCACCTACTTTACACCAAGTTGTGTAAAGGGACTGAAACTTATGGGCAGGGGAATATATTCACTTGGCTAACACAGACAATCCCCGAACTCGTAATAGAACTAAATTGAAGAAAATCGGAATTAAATTATGGCCTAACCCTAACCTGGTACACATACTACGGGAGTACCAAAATATGTATATAACATTATGTTCATTTACAGACGCAATCGACCCCTGTTTATGATGAAGTCGAACCTGATCGAGAAGATTCTGTAGGTCGTAAGTAATTATATTTCTAGGTGTCACTACTGTATAGTTATGCATGCAGTACAATATAAAATTTGCTACAACAGGTCATAAAATTATTATATAGGGAAATTCTTGAATTAATAAAGTTTTGTATAGATAAATGTATTTTAGATCAAACGAACTGAATGTTCTACAAGAATTAACATTTCGATTTTTGTAAATTAACCTTGCATAAAATTCCCAAGTGTTTTCAGGTAACATCAAGATGGCATTTTTTTTAGTTTAATTGTTAGGTTATTGGAGCGATGTTAAATTTCAAAATTATTTCTTGAATATAACTGGCAATTAATGAAATCAATAAAAGTGAATTTATAATTAAAATTATTCTGATTGAAATTATTGATTCATGGAATTTAAAGCATTCGCATGCTTGCTAATGTAACATAAATTTGTTGATTGCAAGTTAAGTTTTTATGCATGTATTGATGCCTTCTACATACTATTTTATCTAAATTTTCTTTCTTCCTTTAGAATATTCATGGGACGTTCACTTTCATGATGATATGGAGAATGAAACAATGGAAGGTGTACGACAAGCCTTACAACTGTCGTCAATGCAAGAATCTGCTATAAAAAGAACAGAACAAGACATTTCGTCTGCTTTCTTGAGTGATAGTAGCGGAACACCACCAAGCGTCGTGTCACAATCACTTGGAAATTCCGCAAACTTTTCTCACAATCCATTTTACGAGACAGCAAACAACAGCAATAATCCATCTCCCAATTTGAGATTTCGTTCTTATTCAGTCGGGGTGCCGGCACCATCGACTTCTCCGCAGCCCCCACAAAAACCCAAGATTGAATTAAAACCAGATGCTTTCGAAGATCTTAAATGTGAATTTTTGAAGAAATATCACTTGGATAAGACCAGTGCAATAGTAACTCCTGATTTATTTCCCGAACGGACAAGCTTGAAATCTAACTCTCCCACCACTGCTATAAAACCTTTATGTATGACGGAACCTTTAACTCCCTCACCGGTAAATTTGTCATCAAGTAGAGGTGCTAGTCCTGTTGTGATACCAGAAATCGCACCTTTTCCTGTATCCCAGCCCAGTACATTATCTGCGTCTGTCGCTGCTATTGCATCTAAATATAATTATGTTCCACCTAGTGGCAGAACTGATGATCATAATGTTGTAAAACGAAGCCATTCCGCTAACGTTCACACAACGAGGGTGAAAAGCTGGTCTGAAGCCCCACCACAGATCCCGCCACGAGAACCAACGCGAATTAATGCTGGGCCTGGTTTTTCTTCTGTTTCCAACAATCAGCAAGTATATAGTACTGATAATGGGCAGAAACAACAATGCACAACTCGTTCTATATTCTCTGCAACACCTTCAATAGGTCAAGCACATCCTGTTATTTTGCCAATCATTAGAGATGGAAAAAAACTCAGTTCAACGCATTACTATCTTCTGCCTGAAGAAAAGGTGGCGTATTATTTTTCTTTATTTATCTACCGTATATTGTTTTCCAGCTTAAAATATGGGTTTAATTATTAGATAAATTCAAATTGTTTCAGAAACTATATTTTCACTATTTTGAATTTTTATCACAGTTAACTCTTGAGCCAGAGCATATTGACTTGCTATAATTTATTGGTATTGAATAGATAAAAGAGTTAATTTGCGATGCCGTTGGAGGAACTACATTTGTTTTCCAAAATTCTTAAAATCTTATGTCAGAGCTGAAATTTCACGTGAATTAAAGCTGAAGTCTATGTTAAATGGGTACTCTCGTAGTGTTTGTTGTTGGCCCACTTATTACCCGGTTAGAACGCCAAAATTTCTTCATTGGTTTTTGCACAAATATTAGTCATTTCCAAAAAAGTGCGCACACACCAAAATTTCTGCGCACACATACTACAAAAAATTAGAGGGAACATTGGTTAGGCCATACTTTTATTTCCTTATTTTAGTTATATTGCGGGTTCTGGGACTGTCTGTGTTAGCCGAGTAAATATAGGATAGGATTCAGTCCCTTCACACAACTTGATGTAAAATAGACGAACAAAATTAGTTACCTCCGTATTGATACACACACTTCTGGAGCGCCGTTAAATGTTCTTGAATCCATTGTCAGAGACGAAATATTTGCCAACCCAGAGCTTTTTTGAACCCAGATTTTTAAGTTTTCGGATTCCCATTTATTGATATTAAACACAAAAATCAATTTGAAAATTTGCATTTCAGGCTTCTGGGAGAAATGTACCTCGTGCTCATGTAATGCCTTTTTCTCAAACAACCACTGCCTACAGCTTGCCAGCTTATAATCCTGGTATGTTGCATTTTACACACAACTTATGTATATTATTTTCCTGTATTATTATCATTATGAAATTTATGGTAATTATCATTTATCAAAATACTTTTTTGATATTTTTTGTAATTAAGAATGGACTTGAATCAAAGTTTTGCGCTATTTTTGTAATTTACCCTTATTCTTAATTTTGATATTTTGACTCAATTTCAGTCTTTTTTTGGAAAAATTTTTTTTCATTCAAATCGAGTCAACCATTCACCTATGTTGTTGATTTTGTATTAATCCAATGGAAATAACCTTTCAATATTGATGTGAAATGTTAAATGAACATTTGCCAATCAACGAACTATCCAGTTTTCCTATTGTTGTTTATGGAGTGTCAATTTTAGAATAGTTCGGTATTATAGAATTCTTACATTAATTTTCATATTTTTATTTTTGATCAGTTAATTTCACTCCTATATAAATACCAGATTTGACACAAATTACGATTTTGCTATTATAATTCAAATATGGCAATGTGATAGCGTAAACCTAACTGGAATTATTCCAGTCCGTCCAATAGTATTTCCTTACATATTGTTTCATGTTAGTTGATGCTTATGTAAGGTCTTGTTTGGAGCAAACATTGTAAATAAGTGTCATAAAAAAGAAACATTCAATTTAATCATCTTAGTTCTTGGAAACACCTTTTCAAATTTAGTTATCTGTGGTTTTGTATTTAAACTATTTATTGAACAATTATAATTGTAATTGATTACAAAACAAAATTCTGGAATTCCAAGCTGTTTGCCGAGTTTGTTGTTAACATGATGGGTGCTGCTGCTTGATAACCAGTAATGGTTCTTATGTAAATTGTATGTCGTGAGTGGTTTTAAGGAAGGTGAAAAAGTAAACTACTGATTAGATCATCGTTTTAGACTACATTTAGATATCCATGTGTGCCACTAAAGTAGTTTTTTTTAAAACTTGAATAAGAATTTTTCATTTTAGCCACAACCTCACCTGCTATTCAGACAGCACATAGTAGAGAACAATATGCTGCCTCTGCTGCTGCCCGATTAAATTATTCACAAATGAGACCGGAAGATAAAATGAAAGAATTACAGAAAGAAGTTTTTGGAGTCACTGATGAACAGTGTGAACATGCTCTCAAACTCAATGTATGGGATGTTTCGAAAGCCATCAAGTATTTAAAGGTAAAATGATGCTTAGAAACACTTTCTGCTGTAACTGTGGTCCTAGCATTGCTGTGAGAAATCACCCGATGGCTCATAGTGGTTAAAGCGTTATACCAAGGTTTTTGGACCAGGGACCAAAAATGTTGCCCACCTAGACTGGCAGGCAATGTAAGTGTGACGTAAAAGTTACATTTTATTTACAATATTTACAGTGTTACAAAAGCAAAAGTCGAAAACAATAAGCTTTGTGCCAAAACAAAATTTAATCGCAATCTTAACACATTCCTTGGGCTATTTTTAGCTGAAACATCAAAATTGGGTTTTGTTTGATTGTGGCCACATCCGGCGGGCCCGATTACATTACCTAACGGGTCGGATTTGGCCTGGGGGCCACAGTTTGCCCATGTCAGCGCTAGACTAAACTATGATAGCATCGCATGTTAAAATTTCGGGGCCCATGTCAGCGCTAGACTAAACTATGATAGCATCGCATGTTAAAATTTCGGGTACAAAACCCATGCCCACCCCCTCACCCAGGGTGTAATAAATTGAGTAGAAAATGCTGAACGGGGGAGATTTCAGTTCTTTCAAGATATGGTAGCTTCCTACCAAGCAGTGGCTGTATGTCCTTGTTCAGAGCAAAAGCATATATGTGCGTCATGTATGAAAAATTTATTCTGAGGCATTTATTCTCTTTAAATAAATGTCAGTTTTATTGGAAATTAGCATGACTGTTATTTTTTAACAAAAATCCAAAAGTTCTTTTTTGAACATCCTTATATAGTGTTAGATATCTGCGAAATGCGCAATCAAAAAGTTTTTATCTGACGTTTCTAAATTTGTATTTTTAAGACATTTAAACTTTCAAATCCATAAATGAAACTATATACAATTTCATATATCAATCCATCATTTCTGACTATATATTCAAATTTTAATTGATCTGTATACGAATCGCTCATATTTCATTAGAAATCTAATTCTGGAAGTTTTCTTTGACATTTCGATATTTACTTCTTTATTTTCTATTATTATCACACGTCAGGTCCTAGGCAGTGTCAAAAAAATTCTCATTTCCCATCGACTAATGACTTCCTTTTTGTCTGATCACGAAATATTAAGTAACGGTTGAATAATGTAATCTGACCTTGGAATTTCTGTAAGAAAAAAACAAACTTTGTGTAATGACATTCAAGATGCTATTTCACTGTATTTCTGTTTATGTTTTATTTAATAAGTTGATTCATATGTAATGTTATATTTGGTGATTTGATATTGGATGTGGCTAACCAATTATTAGTAAAAAGTTTTTAGTACTTTTTTGTGATTTTTTTTGTTATCGTAGTAATATACACCAGGGGTGGCCAACCTATTTCCGACAGAGATCGAGTAAATTTTTGCAATACAATGCGATCGCGACTGATCAATAATAAATTCACACACAAAAATTAACTACAATTTTTGGCCTACAAAATTTCGTCATAGGAAATCTCACCGCAGGAAATTTTGTCGCATAGGAAAAATTGCCCAAAGAGCATTTTGCTGTAAAACAAGTATTTGTGATGATGGTTTTTCAAGTACTTTTTTATTTAAAAAAGATTCATTATTTAAGAGCATACCCTAACCCTATACACCTAACTGTTTTTATCACAAATACTTGTTTTACAGCAAATGCTCTTCCGGCGATTTTTCGTGCTATCACAAATCGAATCCGGACTCTAGTCCAAGAATCAGAGCCAGAATACTGAGGTTTACCTGTAGGCTGTGACTGCAATATAATAAATCTAATATAGGTCACTGACTGCTGAAACCAATTTTCTGATTTGACTCAAATAATAATAATCCGTATGCCCAATTTCCTAATTCTACTATTTTATCAATTTTAGATTGAGCAATTGTTTAGCATGGGAATTGCTCCTCGTAATCGTTGCCAGCAAATGCTACAAATAATGAACTGGAATCTGGAAACCTCTTCTAATGTCCTTCTACAGGAATTCAAAAACGATGCATCACATTAATAATAAAATTAATCATCCTATTTAGAGAGTAATGATAAAATTGGGGATATACGAGACTACAAGATTCAGCAGACTACTTTTATGCATATTGTTCTCTATTCAAATTCGAAAATAGTTACATTTGAAAATTTCGAATCGGCAATTTGTTCAACTTCTTTGTTATGTAAGAAAAATGAACAAATTACATAAATTTGATTGTAAATTCAGAAACAGTTTCTTTCGCTGGTGGTAAAATATAAATTGATTCTTCACAAAAATTTGAGAACTACTGAAAATTGAAATTGAATTGCTGCAAATTCATAAAAAAATTGATACAAGTTTGCGTTATTGCTTTTACCATCTGAATACCTTTAAGAGCTGTAAACAATCTTCTCATCGCTTACTCAAAATGTTTAAAAAAAGAACTACTACAGTGTTGTTTTAAATTCATTTTTGATTCTTATCAAGAGCATGTTTTCATTTAATATTTTAATTATTCACTCTTTCATCCCAGTATTTTAAACGGTGAAACATCTATATATTGTACTACTTTGTTTTATTTTTATTTATTACTCAGTATTTTATTTACCGATAAAGCGTAAGACATTATCCATATTTGATGTTATAGAATTTATCGTCATTGCAATCGAGGTTAAAAATTTTGTTGTGATCACACCAATCAATAAATTCTAAAGCTGTCTTTGTTTCAGAATTTCGCATCTCGTTTGAAATTAACTTTCAAGTATATATGATTGTGTTTGTATTGCATTTTCAAGTTACAGGACGGTGACGTGACCTTGGGTCTAGAATTTAAGGTTCAGAATTTTAATTTATGTATCTAATTTAGCTTGAATTAGCATCTAAGGGTTTTTCGAACACTTAGTGTTATGGAGCCTGCGAAAAGGTTGACTATTACCGGTATTTACGAAGCCCCATGATAAATTTTAAACATGAAAACAAAAAAAACATTGTTATTTGTTACTACCTGAGTGAATTAAAATTACTTTATTTATTGACTCGAGCATATTCGAAGCTTTGTATTTGAAAAATATTCAAATTGCGGTTCAATTTAAGTCACCTGAAATATCAGATCATTTCCCACATTCAACCGGTTTCTCTTACAGAGCCTTGGGCCCCTGAACCTATGGCATAGACATAGTAAAAAGTGGTATTAAGGAATATAGTTAAATTAAAATTAGGCCTTAAATAAGTGATTGAGCAAAGCATTATTGTCGAATTATCCTAATTGACACGGTGAAATTTTGGTTCCCCATCAATATTATTATTGCACTCCCAGGATTTCAAGTTTTGCAAAATCCAAATTATAAAATATCCCACTATGTCTATAAAAATACTCTAGTCCTGACATTATTAAAGTATACTTGTCTTATTCTTTATCCTTTGTTTTCCGATCCATTTTGCACCATTTTTATTGGAACGTGGTATCATGTTATTGTGCTATTACATTCTAAATCTTTATCATTATTTGTATCAGTACATATAGTTATTTTCATAGTCAAAAGATAGTGTTATATGTTGAAATTTTACAGATATATGTTTAAAAAGATGGTTTTGGATTGGTCTGAAATGCCCAAGTGGATAGAGGACCTGAATGCATCCATGATATAGAGTTTTATCGCGGTTATAATCTAATCAAGAATATTATTTTTACCCATGGATTTGGCCTGGTATTCTTTGATAGATTTATGGATAAGGCTAAAAAATAGGTATCAACCAAAGGCTTGTGATCTTCGATTTTTTTATCAAAAAGGTGGATTTTATCAATTTTACACCAAAACTTTTGATTTACAATATACTCTTCATTCAGGCTTCGAAAATAATTTTAAAATATGTTAAAATAAATAATAATTTGATTTGGCCATTTCTGTATACCAGTTTTTCTAAATTTTTGCACTGACCCTCTTTTATTCTTGTTTGAAAATGACAATCCGGCCTTATTCTATTGGTTGTATTACATAAACCAGTTAAGTATGTGGAGTTAAAAGGTATAGCCAAGCTTAACTACAAAAACAAAACATGAGATCTAGACTTAGTATAAAAGTGGTGATATTTTACATGTTATTGTGAATGAAAACGGCTAACCATACCTTCTATGCTCAATATGAACCCTTTTAAACAAGTAAACAGTCATGATTGAACCACCTATTAATACTCATTCTACCTGTGACTACCAAACAACCCATTTTTGAAATTGATATAGTCGAAATTTTCTTGAAGTATAACCAAAATGACATTTTCATCTTCCACGCTGTGGAAGCGACAATAAGATAAAGGAACTTTTGGTAATTGGTTTGAGCGCTGGTAGTTCTCTCCTTTTGTACTTTATTGAATAAAGATTTGTCCTCTCACTTCACTATTACTAACTATCCTGGACACCAGACGCATGGCTTGAAAGTTATACATTTTGTTGTATTTTGATACTGCATATTAATATAAGTACTGGTGATTTTCAAATTCATCTGCCGAATCTGAGCATGGTGAAATGGGGCCATTAAGTACAAAGAGTGTGGGACCAACTCTATGGTTGTCGGAGATTCGGATTTATTTCTATTCTTTCCAATAAGTTGTTACTAACAAATTTGGTGTTCACTATATATATCGATTGAATAAGAGTAGTCAAATACGTAGCAACTGATTAATACATGATCTCTTTGTTTAACGATTTAATAAAAACATTCAGTCTTTAAGTTTGAGGCTGAGACCATCAAGAATATCCATGCAGTCGTATAAGCCTACTCTGACGCACTTATGGTCAAAGTACTCAACAGGGACGATGCGAAAGTACTGTGCCGTAATTGCCTCTTTGAACTCGTTTGATTTCGGCGTTTGGTTGTCGTGATTACCAACGAATATCTGTAAAAGAAGGCGATGTATTTTGAACTTTCGATCAAGACAAGAATGTCGCAAAACAAGAAAATATATCTATTAAATTAGGATAGGTGACAAAATTTGCAGCAACATTCTCGTCTTCATATCAAGGATGAAACAATATTATACCGACATATAGAAGATCACTATCACTTTTAAATCAGAGACGAGTTTTTTTTTCTCCCACTTAACAGAACTGACTAAATCACTGATTTGCGAAATCGACCAAGAGTTTAGTAAAAGATTATGATCTCTTACACCTTACTAAATGTTGTATAGCTCATTGTCTGCATTGACTTTTATCAGCGAGTGGTCAGAGTTATTTTATTTGTCACTTTTGTCACACAAAGTTTCTGAATACTATAGAAATGACAGAAGTTGTGAAAGACGGATTGCTCCGTCATCAAGTTTACAACTCCCCTCGATGAACAGCAAAAAAATAAATAAAGTAGTAACGATAGAAATACAATAATTTTGAGGGGATCACTGGCATACTCCAGTGCGGGGGTTCCCAAACTGGAGTACATTAAATTGGGTATAAGACTATTCTTTCCAAAATATTTTTTATCAATCGATGTTAACAGTTTGAAGAAGAACCCTTCAGTAATTTACATTTTCATTCCAGTGGAAGCTCCCAGTAACTACCAGCTTTACACGACTCCCTTTTGTCCAGTCACAGCATGCAAGACAATTTTGGGAGTATACGAGCGATCTATTAATTGTCCGAAGGGTACCAATGAACGGAAGGTTTGGGAAACCCTGCTCTAGTGGCTACCGTATCAGAATTGAGTTCATTATTGACTAGTTTATTGTACAAAAACAAACATCTTCCGAGGGAACTCAGGAAGGTAAGATTTTTATAATTACGATCGAATTATATATGTGTCGAAGTTCGTGAAAAAAGATACTGATGACCGAGTTGTGAAGTAGTCTTAGTATTATGGCCATGTACTGACGACTAAGTCGTGAAGTAACCCTGGAAAGCCTCTAGTCTAGGCAACATATTATGTGTGAATTATGGCATGATTTTGGCAACCTCGAGTATGTGGATATCATCAAATTTGTAAATATTAGATAACTGATATGGTCGGCTAAAGCTCGTTGATCTAACAGAATTTGTCAAAAATCGAATTGCTTTGTTTTTCAGAGATCTAATTTTGAAGCTGTGAGTCTTCTGGGGAGTTATTCCCCACTCTGTTATTCCATATGATGCCCATATGATTGAAAATGGACAAACTATACCGGCATTAAGGTAAACCTGGATAGATAATTTCGATGTTTGCATATTATTCCTACATCTCTTGAAAGGTTTGCTAAAATAATATCAACATGTTTATCCCGTCGTAATTTATAGTCAATTGTTATACTCAAATATTTGTATAACTGGACTAATTTGGTAGATCATTAGCAAAGATCATAAACAACAATGTGGCTAGGTTCGAACCCCTGGAAACAGCACATGTTGTGGGTAGGTTGTTGATGAAAATATGCATATATAAAAACGATTGTTATAGAATATAGATCGGGCGTAATAAACCAACCTTATCATTTCCGTCATCAGTTGTGATGGTGGTGAAACTTGTGCCGTCGTCGGAATATTGTACTTTGTATGATAGCACGTATGAATGTGCGTGACTTGATCCTTGTGTTATGACACCTTGTACAAGTACCGATGAATCAAGATTTATTGTTATAGAATCGCTAGCGTCGCCATCTGTTTCAGCGCACCACGCTCCTGGCGTTTCAATCACTCCAGTAGTTGATCTTTCAGCAGATGAGGTAAAGGATAGTTTTCCGTTAATGTTCAGGCTGCAAAGCTTTTCTGTGACGATTATGCCATGAAATACATTTGATGCAATAATTTTTTTTTTCGTTTGAGACAAGTGGCAGTGGAAATTTAATTATAAATGTTGACTTGAATAACGTTCAGCATAGTGGTATAGGCTTTTCATCATGTTTATGCTACCTTGTGTATACGAACAGCCACTTATTTTGAACCCGGTTAGATACTTTGATTGGTAAAACAAAACAAAAAGCATTTATTTTGCATAAATGTTGGAATAAAGAACCATACGAAACTATTTCCTTTTCAAAATGCATTTGCACCTTTGCCCGAAAGATATGCATATGAACTGCATATCGCCTCCAAACGAACTCGCTTACCTGGATTTGCTTTGACTAATCTTGAAAGAACATCTGAATTAGAAAAAAATATTAAACTTTATTTTCGACTACGCCAAGAATGTCATATTTTGAACTGTTATCAGTGTTATGTTTATAACCGATTCGCACAATGATTGTCATCATGAAGATTTCTCTCAATGCTCTTGAGCAATGAAAGATTTGCATGAGTGACTTTAATACCAAAGTAATTAACGGTAGTTAATGAGAAAAAATGAGATTTTTTTCATAACGATAAGAAGAAAAATAGAAACAATTAGAACAGGAATAATAACAACAAAACGATCCATATGTACGTTTCCTGCCAAATAATAAGCTCACCAGCAACTTTGGGTAAAACATATCTTGTTGACTTTCTTCTATCATTTACACGTGAAGACGGTGGCCACGCGTTGTTTGTGTATCGTTTTATTCGAGCTTCTGAAAACTTGCACATCACAAATATCAATAAGGTCACGGTTGCAACTTTACCACAAATCTTCAGCATCATAATGTAATAATTTTGAAGGCCTTGTACTGCGAACCTGTCAATTGTCTGTATTGTAAAAGAAACGTCGACTACAGTGACGAACTTGCAGTTTTGTAACCCTATGATGCACAAATTTATATCATTAACTAAGTATATACACATATTTATTGAACTAGAGTTCCTATTCTATCTTTAAACCCAATTCTTATTACTATCGTTTATTTGTTTGCGGGATAAAAACTTATGCTTTCAATGGGATATAAGCAGCGCAGCGTATATACAGTATATATATATATATATTATACAAGATTGAGTCGAATATTTATCTATTTAGTTGATTTTAAAAAATACTGAAGAACATTATAATACAATTGTACATCTTCAATTCCTGGACAAAGCAGCATTCAACTGACTAACGACAGAATTATAATAGACTTCAAAATCTAATACCAACATTTGAGCACGATATAAAATTACAGTAAGCTTTTGAATAATTTATTTTCCGTCCTGAATAATAGTAAATCATAATCGTTCTCTGAATTGGAGAGCAAGCTTCCGTACTGCGACGAAAACAAATATGAAACTTCAGTAGGATGACGAAGCGAAAGATGTTAATACTTTAATTCGAATAATCTTCCTGATAACAGTAATGTATAGAGCATATTTTTTCCTGTCCTGAGTAAAAGTAAATCATAATCGTTCTCTGAATTGGAGAGCAAGCTTCCGTATTGCGACGAAAACAAATATGAAACTTTAGTGGGATGATGAAGCAAAGATATTGGAAATACGGTAATTTAAAGCGAATAATCTTCCTGGTATCAGTGAAGTATTAAGCACTTCTTCAAATACGCACTCTGATATGTACTGTATCGCAACTCGCAAATTATGAAAATGCAGCGGATACATAAAATGTTAGATTCGAAAATATGGAAAGTTCATAGTGCTCAAAATGTAGCCTACCTCCTGATAACAGTAGGGTATGGGGCACTTCTTTTCATGTCCTGAGTAATAGTAAATCATAATCGTTCTCTGAATTGGAGTGCAAGCTTCCGAATTGCGACGAAAACAAATATGAAACTTTAGTGGGATGATGAAGCAAAGATATTGGAAATACGGTAATTTAAAGCGAATAATCTTCCTGGTATCAGTGAAGTATTAAGCACTTCTTCCAATAGGCACTCTGATATGTACTCTATCGCAATTCGCAAAATATGAAAATGCAGCGGATACATAAAATGCTGGATTCGAAAATATGGAAAGTTCATAGTGTTCAAAATGTACCTTAAAACAAAACACTGAATTAAATCCCGGATTCGGTCCAAGTCATATCCGTGCAAAGTAAGCAAACGATTTTGTATGGCTATGGTTTGAAGACAGGGCAAACTGAAATCACGCTGAACGCCGGGCCTAATAGCCTAGTTGAAATATCGCTGAAATTAAATCGGCATTAAAAAATTGATAGTTTTGAAAGGTGACCGTACATTAGAACCCATGTACATTTGAACTCATGCGTATATCCACGGGTTCAATCTATATGCGGGTGCTAAAACCCATGGGTTAGGGTTAGTATGGGTTTAACTATCCGTGAAACAAAAAAAAATCCATAGGTGCAATAGCATACAGGTGCAATTGTCATGGGTTCAAATGTACGTGGGTTCAAATGTAATGGAACCGTTTTGAAACATACACGGTATCTAGAAAATACAATTCAAGTACGTCGAGTTTATTTGATGTAAAAAGTGACGGCTTTATCAGTTGAATAATTGATTTCTATCGTACATTTCTTTTTATGACGATTTTAAAATCACCCACTTCAATGACCGAAAAAGTATTGAGTTTCAATATTGATAGGACGTCGCAAAACTTTTCTTCTTTTGCGGATTTGTACCTTCAGTGCGTAAAAAAAGTCAAAATTTTCGTTATTCTCGTTTAAATCATACTTGAGAACTGGACATGACAATATATTAGTTTTTGTAACGATCGATCTTATCTATATGTGACTTGACAAATATCACGGATCATTCAAAATACCAAGTGCCCGTGCTTGATTAAGGGCCGGTTTAAATAAGGACCCGGTTAGTGACTTTGGTGAAAAAAAATATGAGCCCGGGCTACAAAACGAGCAAATACGGTAAGTCAAGTTAAAAAACACGGGGTTTGTCGACCATAATACATTCAAAGCTCCTTTTTTTCAATAAATGGGAAGGGGGTCATCACCAGTGACTGCCACCGATGGTGAAATCGATGTTACCAAACCATTCTAGTGTGTCAATAATTGAAACCCGACTTGTCTTATCAAGATGAGACCACAAGTAAACCTGGCCGGTCTGCTGGTCTGTGTTTTAAAATACCCAATCAGTCACATTCACGAATCGTCAGATGCAGCGGGTTGAATCAATTCACAGAACACATAACCGAAATTACTGCTAAAGCGTGAAGATACTAAGAATAGGGCTGGGCATTTCGAATCGAATATTCGAATCGAATCGAATAGTGAATTATTCGAATAGGTTCAGAGCTTAATTTCGAATCGCCGCCATCTTGTTTTTTTCTTTCCGCCAATGGTCGAGGTGAATTCTCAAATTTTTTTTTAATTGAAGCCATATATTTTCAACCCGATTCTAACATGACTATTTTCTGTAATGAGTTATTGATAAAACGTGTTTGTTATTAGGTGTGAACGCTCAGTAATCTATCTGAGTTATGTATACTATTGCTTCAGTAACTCATTTGTTAAGAAGACCAATTACTTTAAAAAAGTCGCTTACAGTTATATATTTCCAAGTATTCGAGATTCGATTCGATTCGAAAAAATTATTCGATTCGATTCTGAAATCCAAGGTATTCGAAAATGCCCAGCCCTAACTAAGAACACTTTGCATAATACCCACATGCATATGAAAAAGGTAGTTGAATTTTGGGCCTACAATGGACGAGCAAACGCTAAGTCCAACTTGGACAAGTGCCCGATATTACGGACGTCGCTTAAATATTCGGACGTTACAACAACCATTATTTATCAACAAAGGAGTAATATTTTTATGAGACAAAAATTTTATCAAGATCACGCGCACGCATATGAGACGGTCTCTAGATTTAGAAATGCATTCTCATTTGATTAGGGCTTTTATAGTTGATTAACAGCTCAAAAATAACTTTCAAAGGGTTTAATATTGGAAAGAACTTATATGTATATCAATTACTTATCTTGTTCCGACTGGGAATAAAAGGCATAGCAATAAAAAAAAGTTTTGCTAGTAGATTTCCTGCCAGGAACAAAGGTTTGCTTGTATGCCTTCTGCAATTAAAGCTTCCACTAGTTCAAAACTAATAAGGATGCTGATAAAAATAACGTGCATGATGTACATTTATTTCTATCACCGCCATTGATTTGCTGCAAAAAATATATCTTTTTCGAAATAGTTCTCGGAAACCCGATTATGACGAAATTACCAAGTAAACAATCAATGTAACTGCGGAAGAAAGTGCTCTTCGCTAGTAACGTTTGGGCCAAAAATGAATGGACACCTACGACATCTTGGATCACAATCTTAGGGAATATACCCGATTTAATTTACGAGCCACTGTCAAGTGTCAACTGTTCCCTCCGTTATTTAACATAACGTCTATGTTGTTTTGTCTCATGAGACAAAGAGTGTGGCGACAAAATAAATACAAATCCCAAAATCAATCCTCACTTTATCAAAATGCCGGCGTTAAACCATTCTAGTTAAAATCTTCCAATTTTTATGACAGGTGCGATACGACGTTCTAATTCTACGATTGCCATAAAATTCTTCCTGAATTTAACTACTTGAAACAAGGCTGATAGACGCAGTATTTTATTTAGACACATCGATTTTCAATTTAATATATATATATATATACATCATAATGAATTACAAATCATACAACAATTCTTTCAACAAATTGTAAAGATCAAATCTTAACGCCTGATATTATTTTTAGGGTGCAAATGATATGATGAACAACTGTTAGTTCTAGAATATAGTAGTGAAATCTCGTTATCTATTTATCGTCATCGTCATCATCAAGATCCAGGACTTTAAGGACAATTTCACAATCGTATAGGCCGACTCTCATACACTTCTCCCCCAACAATCGATACTGGTACGATGCGAAGATACCGTTTTTCCACAGCTTCAGGAAATGCATTAGATACTGGTGTTTGGTTGTCGACGTTTCCTCCGAATTTCTGAACATAAAGTTTTTTGGTCAAATAGTATTAAGACAAAAATGGGGGACAACATTGTTCTATAGCATACCAAGGTTATATCAGTTATGAAACTGACGCGTCAACGGCGTCATATATAGTTCACGAGCCCCCAAGTAAATGTAGAGAGAGAAATGACTGACAGAAAAGTTGTGATCAATCGCAAGCGGGCTAAGCACCATATATGGGCTTCTGATATAGTACCTGTTTAGGGCGTAGAAAAGGACTTGGTTTGAACATTTGACTGATTTATCTTGATACTACTTACTTTTGGTGTGTTTACGTATGGTTCACTGCATCGCGATTATTGGCTGATTACTTGATTACTTCTTGTTATGGTAACTGTCTAGAGCTTTAGTCTGTCTTTAGATCTGTTCTCATAAGCTTGTTAATGGTGCTATAGTCATTAGGTATGAATATTCTATTTCTTAAGTTTCTTACATTGGGATAATCTGTTCTGACAAAGCCTCATTTAAATGTAAGTGAATTGGTATATTCTTGCTTTGTATTGTGCCTGGTTGCCTGTACTCATTTTAATATTCATCTTTATTGTTTGTCAGGTCATTTGTCTTACTGATATCTGGATTAAATCACTTTGGGAGAAATCTATTCGTTTCATTTCGGGATATTAGTTAAAGAGACATAGTAGGCAAGGGTGATTTGTCAATGGGCAGAATCCAAACTAGTGACATTTAATGATACTGCACCTACACCTACAAACTGGAGTCTGAATCAAGCAGTTCTTCTTCAACCTTTCGAGGATTCAGCAATACATCAAAGCAAGAATGCCAACTAACAATGGCAGAATATTTTCAAGGTCAGAATTTCAAACAACTCAAGAGTAAGTTTCCGGTACTCAAAGTAAATTTGGAAAGAATTTTAACACGATTTGAGCACTCTCTGGAAAGAAGAGATTTTGAAAAGGTCAAAATACTGTTTCATGATGCTAACGATAAAATAGCATTTTTGGTCTGTCTAATTGATACTATGGAATTGGCTCTAATTGAAGAAGACAGTACTACACAAAGTGGAGGAAAAACCCGTTATATCCAAATTTAGTGAAGAAATTTTACGTGTGGAAAACAAGATTGCAATCGATTTTGAGAAATATGAAGACAAACTAGATATAAAGCCGGTGATATCATCTCTTGTAACCACTCAAAACAATTATAATAATGATCCTCCTATGATTAAGTTATGTGGTATGGATCCGCCATGCTGGAACGGACAAAAAGTAGACTTTTATACCTGGAAAGAACGTTTTACACATATAATGCACCATGCTAGAATTACGGATGATTTAGTGCAAATTTCATGCTTTTACGCAATGGTGCAATGCCAAACGATTATCAAACAATGATATGTGACTGTAAATCAATTTCAAGTGCATGGGAACGCCTAGAAGAGCGTATTTCTAAATCAGTAGTTCAACGTGAAGTAATCAAGCAATACGAGCAAATAAAACCTTTATATAAGACCTCTCGTAATCCAGCGAACCTTAGGCGACTAGCTCACGAAATTTCTCTCTTCTGCCGACGTATGGAAGATCTTGGGTTAAACAGGATGCAAACTCGGTTATTTCTGTCAATAGAGCATTAGAGTGTTTAGATGCAGACACTGCACTGCGATATAATAGTTCCAGCAAAGGTAATCATAACTTGGAATCTATAACGAATTTTCTGAGATCTGAAGCTACAGCGTTGGAAATATCTGGTAACTTTATCTGTCAAACCGAGAATATGAGGTTTCGACGAGACAAAACCAGTCGCCAAGATCTAATTTCAATACGGTTAATCATGCTACAGACGAGAATGATAACATGGGTTCAGTTCAGCCACGTCAAAGGACAGTCACTTGTATTTTTGGATGTGGAATTCAGCACCGCCTTATAGACTGCAACAAATATCAAAACCTATCAATTCCTGAAAGAAAAACTTTATAGCAGATGATCGAAGATGTTTTATATGTCTAGGAACTCACTTTGCAAGAAATTGTGCAGAACAACAGCCGATAGCTGTGTAAATTGTAACCAAAGAACAGCATCATTGGTCATTATGTCCCGGAAAAGTACAGGGAAATTACAATACAATGAGAAATTCTGGAATGAACGGCTCGAATTTGGAAAGTCAACATATTCACTCTAATGCAGCAGTATTCAACCAATCTCAGATGCATTCAAGACAATTGAGCGCTTTTAATTTGGATTATTCTCCATTACTTGTTGCAGAAGTGCAGGCGAGTGACAAAACATGGATCAAGGCAAATTTCTTTCTTGACGGTGGCAGTAATCATTCTTTGGTAAGACGTAATTTTGTAAAAATCATTGAAACAAAAGGCCAATAGGTCATGGAACAATTCGGTTTTGGTGTCGCAGGAGGAGCCATTCATGAAGAACCTTCTGAAGATTATAATTTGAAAATTAGACCTCTTTCACGAGGACCAGATATTTGATATCAGAGTTACGGCTGTGAGAAAACCTTGTCACGATGTTACACCAATTCCGCCATATATTTTTAAACAGTTGAATATCTAAGAAGAATTCAGGATAAAAATACCAGTTGGGGCAAAAAACAGTCGATGTTTCTTGTTGGTAGAGATTATGCACCTTTAATTCAAACAATGCATTCATTACGTTCGCCAATTGATCCCGATAATCATCTTCAGCAGCTTTCACATCTCTTGGATGCTATCTATATGGAGGCATTATTCAAGCACCGCAACGATCTTTCAATCATGTAGCAAATATTAATAGTTTTTCATCATTAGAAAATGAAGAGTTGCGCAAGTTTTTCCATGGTGAAGTTCTTGGAGTGCAACCACAACTTTGTGTGTTTGTTCTAACTCAGAAATTGCAGAATCAGCATTTATCAAACATGGTAAAAGCGACAACCAATATTGTGCTGATGGCCGAGTTTGTGTCAAAATGCCATGGAAACCTGGTTTCCCAGAAAAATTGCACAACAATTATGAGAAGGCGTATGAACAAATGAAAAAACGGGAACAAGAATTGTATAGAAAAGGAAAAACGGAAGAGTATAATATGGAGATTAAAAATCTGCTTCAGCGAGGCGTAGTACGACGACTAACACCGGTTGAAACGAAAACGGCTAAAGTTGAAAATGCATGGTACCTCAATCATCGTATCGTAGAGCGTCCGGATAAAACCTCAACAAAATTAAGAATAGTATTTGATTCTGCGTGTCCTTTTAAGGGCACATGTCTCAATGATGGTTTAGAGAAAGGCCCAGCTTTGCGAATTCTTTGTTCAGATGTTTCATGGCATGGCGAGCTGATAGTGTGGCTATTGCTGGTGATATATCGAAAATGTTTAATCAAATTCAAATGGCAGAAGTCGATCAGAAATTTCATCGTTTCCTTTGGCGCTATGGTGATTCATCGTTGCAACCAACAATCTTTCAATGGCTTCGGGTTATGTTCGGAGATAAATCTCTAGTCCTGACTTGGCATGCTTTACAATTAAATTTTTAGCCGATAAATTTCGAAAAGATCATCCTCTTGGAGCTGTTGTATTGGACAAAGATACATACATTGATGACGTCAGTCATTCTGTTTCGAATCACATTCTTGCAAACCAGGTTATCAATGATGTTGATCAAATACTTATTCGTGGAAAATTCTCTATAAAAATTTGAACTCAAACCATCCTGAAGTAGATCAAAAATCCTGGTGAAAAAGTGTTGATGTACTTGGTCATTCCTGGAATAAAACTGATGACAGTTTCAGTTCAAAATTCAAAGACATTTCTTTCATGCAAACAGGATTTTCTAAAAGAAAGCATTAGCATGTGTAATGAAATTGTTGGGACCCTCTGGGTTATTTACTTCCAGTCACAATGCAGTATAGAATAGATCTTCAAAGATCTGGGCAGATGGATTTAGCTGGGACCAAACTTTGCCAGATGATGTGGTCAAATGCTGGTATAACAATGTTCAAGAAATGTCCAAGTTAGCTCAAGTTTCAACTCCAAGATGTCTGAAACCTGAAAACACAACTGGACCTCCTCAACTGCACGCATTTTCAGACGGTGGAGATTTAGCCTATGGCACTTGTGTGTTCTTACGGTGGCCTACAACAGGTGGAGTTAAGCTAACATTCGTTGCAGCAAAGGGATTTGTGCGCCACTCAAACACAAAAGTACTCCAAGGAAAGGAGCTAATGGGAGCAATAGGCATGAGCAGATTGGTGCATGAAATAAGTAAAGCACTACCGTACAATATTGCATTCAAATATTTCTGGATAGACAGCAAAGTTGTTATTTATTGGTTGAACTCCCAATCTGGAAAATTCAAACCATTCGTTGCTTCAAGAGTACAAGAATTTCAAGAATACACATAAGAATCTAACAAAAGAAGTCAAATTCATTCCAAGTCTTCTTAATGCTGCAGATTGTTTAACAAAACCTATTTCCTGCGAGAAGCTTACAAATTTGGCATGAAGGACCTGAATTTCTAAGGCAACCAATGGAATATTGGCCGAATGATGATGACTTAAAATTAGATGAATTACGTCAAGAAATATTGGAAGAAAAACCACCAACTAAGTCAAAAGCATATCGCGGAAAAAGACAATTCAACGTCGTTAAAGCAGATTTGCCTTATCAAATGATAATGATTTAGCGGATAATTTTTCTTCATGGCAAGACTTGCTAAGAGCGGACAGCTTGGATGAAGGGTGCATTTCAGCAAAAATCATTTGTCAATTTGGAATTTAAACCTGCCGATGTCGTACAATACATAGAGAAAGCAAAATTGTGTATATTCAGAATTTGTCAAAAATCTATGATGATGAATTTGGGAAGGCTGTCAAAACTCTATGGAAATTAGACTTGTTATTCGATTCTCACGGAATTCTTCGTATTGGTGGAAGACTGAATAGAACTGATTTATATATGGAAATGAAGCATCCAGTCGTGCTTCCGGGCAAACATTCCCTCGTTCGTCTTCTTGGAGTGTTCTATCATAAAAAGTTCTTACATCAAGGGTATCGAGTTATATTGGCAAATATGAAGAATGACGGTATTGTTCTTATTGGTGGAAGAATTACTCTTAAAATCAATAGCATCAATGTGTATATTTTGCAGGATTCGTCGTAGAAAGTTGCTACAGCAACGCATGGGAGAACTTCCTTCATTTCGAATGCAACCACAGATGGCACCATTCAATTCTGTAGGCAATGGATTTTTTCGGATACTTGAAAGTAAAGCAATCTCGAAATGTAGTTATCAACGCGTCTGTTTTAATTATTACATGTGCAACCACTCGTTGTATTCATCTGGAACTGTGTCTGGCTCTGGATACTAATTCGTTCCTTCGGGCATGGAGACGATTTGTATCTATAAGGGGAATTCATCCTGCTTTTGTATTTTCCGACGGAGGTACTACATTTCAAGCTAGTCAAGCGCCTATCAAGGAATGGATCGAGAAATGGAATTTTCAGTTGACTCAACATGAGATGGCAGAGAATCAAACGAAATTTGATTGGAATATAATGTGCCTTACGCGTCACATATGAATGGAGTAGTAGAATCGCTTATCAACTCGGTTCGCAAAGCACTCGATGCATCAGTGGTGAATTACAGCAGGGCTCTTATGACCTACGAAGAATGGACAACTGTTCTCAACGAAATTACTTATATCATCAATAGTCGACCACTTTTCCCAGATGGAAACCCTTTGGAATATAATTGTATTACTGGCAATACTCTTTTACATCCATATGCAAAGCAGGTAGTCCCTCAAACTACACAAGAAGAGAGATTCAATCCACGAGACATGCTAAAAGTGGCGGAAAACAGAGTTGAGGTGTTCTGGAAAACATGGATGAAACACATACCGCCTCAGCTATTACTTGCTAACAAATGGTTTCGAACAAGACGCAATCTTAAAGTTGGAGATTACGTATTAATTCTTCAACCTGGATTTAAGGGCGGAAGTGCACCCAGAGGTTTATGGAAAAAAGCACTGGTTCACAACATTATGCCCAGTTCAGATGGCTTGGTGAGAAGTGTTACAATCAAAGACAGCGATGGGAATTTATACAATCGACCAATACATAAACTTTGTCTAATTGCGACCAAAGAAGAGCTACAGTGTGGGTTGAAAGACATCTAATCTCATATCAGTTACTCCGAGTCAACAATGTTCAATATTATCGTCTTTTTCATTGCATTTATAGACTGGGGGGGGGAGTGGTTTGAACATTTGACTGATTTATCTTGATACTACTTACTTTTGGTGTGTTTACGTATGGTTCACTGCATCGCGATTATTGGCTGATTACTTGATTACTTCTTGTTATGGTAACTGTCTAGAGCTTTAGTCTGTCTTTAGATCTGTTCTCATAAGCTTGTTAATGGTGCTATAGTCATTAGGTATGAATATTCTATTTCTTAAGTTTCTTACATTGGGATAATCTGTTCTGACAAAGCCTCATTTAAATGTAAGTGAATTGGTATATTCTTGCTTTGTATTGTGCCTGGTTGCCTGTACTCATTTTAATATTCATCTTTATTGTTTGTCAGGTCACTTTGTCTTACTGATATCTGGATTAAATCACTTTGGGAGAAATCTATTCGTTTCATTTCGGGATATTAGTTAAAGAGACATAGTAGGCAAGGGTGATTTGTCAATGGGCAGAAATCCAAACTAGGACTCAACAATTCAAGTTTAAATTAGTAGCAAACAGTAATGAAGAATCAATTCCACAAAGCTGAAAAATCCACTTAAAATATAACTTTCGTAGGCAGTGCAAAACGTCGTATACCATGTTAGGATAAAGACACCAATCGATATGGAGAGCGGGAAGTTGGACAAACGCACTGAGTGTGTTGTAATGTGCCTAAGAAGCGTCATAGAAGGTTTAATTAGCCAACATCTACTTTTGAGAAAAATTGTAACTATTACTCTTTATTGGTTAAAAAAAACGGATATAGCACCAATGCAAATATCGTAGAAATATATTTGTAATTTTTATGGGTGAAGTAGTCTACGAATTCTGGTGGAATCATTACAATGGAATACTGGATAAACGTTACCTTGTCCAAGCCGTTTTCGTCTTTGATCGCTGTGTATGTTGTGCCATCGTCAGACGTTTCGACTTTGTACTCGGTAACGTACCAGTCATTATTGCTGTGTCCTTGTGTGATGATACCTTCTACACGATCAACCGAACCAAGGTCAATAGCGATATAATCTGTAGCGTCGTTTGTAGTTTCTGTGCACATGGCGCCCTCAGTGTTGAGCACACCTGTTTTAGAGTCAGTTCCGGTTGTCGATATAGTCAGTTTACCAACAACATCAATACTGCACAGCTTCTCTATAATATATATTTGTGATGAAAAAATATTTATCAGTATCAGGTTAATTTAATAAACTAATAAAGAACCCTGAAACAGTCTGAAGTATTTATTACCTGGGTTTGCTCTGACTAAATCGGACAGTAGACCTGCAAAGTTGAAAAAAATGATGTTTAGCACCGGTGATAACTGATAACAGACTATAAATTTGCAACATTAGGTTTTAAGGACAACAGTAAAGTGATTTCTTCGAACTCTCTTATGCAATTTTTTTTGTCAAACTGTTGCTAAATAAGCGTGATACTCGCATTTCGAAAATTTATTCTCATAAGAAAGATAATTTTACGACTTTCCACGCATTTGAATATGTATTTCAGTTAATATTTTATTAATGTTGATAAGATGTCATCCCAGCTTGCAATGCATATCTGTTCCTAGAAAACTCTGTTATCCTTTTATTCTCACACTTTATCAGGAGAAAGAAGAGAATTAAATATAGTCGCAGGTGAACTTTTGCGGGTGTTGCGTTAATTACTTTTATTGTTTTCCAATTGGTTGGCGCGACAGCCGCGCTTTATGATATCAGGAAAAATAGAAAACGTTATCTAAATAGGTACAGTTGGAAAAAATATTATCATTACAAGTATTAATTACTTACTTGCAATGCCTTTGATACGCTCTTTCCCATGTCCATGTTTCGGCTTTCCTCCACGCTTCCTGCCACGCCTCGCTTCTAACATTTCACCAAAAGCCAAAATTATCAAAAGCAGAACAATTGATCGAGAAAGCCTTGTCATATTTTCAGATTGTCTTGTCTAACTACTAGATCTATTACAAAATTAAAAACAAAAATTCAATCTTGGCGAGGTCGAAGTCCGCTGCCACACAGACAGGTTAGTTCGCTTTTACTTATACAAAAACACTTCAGAAATGAGGCGATATACAGAGTACCAGCGCCTTCAAATTAATATATGCATAATTTTATCGTGGATCATTTGAAGTTAATTAAGTGAATTATACTCGTACATGGTTCTTACAAGCAGTCGGTATTTGATAACACACGCATGATGAAAAAAAACACGTTAATTCATTGAGACAAGATGCTACGTCGTTCAGACGGTATAATAGGTATTCAAATGCTTATACACCGTAAATAAAGACGCCACCTCACTTAGTCACATATCCTTCCTATTCCGGAGTTTTATTCATAGTCGTTATCGTTCCATGTATTAATATTCAATACAACGCTTCCGAGTTCTCGTGAATTAACAGATCGTAAATTATTTACATTACACAATGGATTTATATAATGTTTTGCGATTTCATATCACAAAGGGCAAAGTGTGATAATATTTAATTAACAACATTAAATATATGCATCTATTGTGTGTTTTTGTACAACTGCTGTTTTTTTATTCTTAATGGCTATGATTATCGCCCCAACTCACTTATAAATTGCTCGATCTTTATTTGGTTCTTGTGCGCTCATCATACTTTGTGTGTTTGCTGGAGACGCGTGTGTCACTAAATAAGAGTGATCTGCTGACCTATTGGGTTATCAGCAAATGTGAAAGTATTTATATATATTTGACGCATGCACATCTCCTATTTTTTATTACGCAATGGATATGATGATTCGATTTCACAAAGGGCTGTAAGTGTTGATTCTGGCACAATATACCGGAGCAGAAAGCAGGAATTTCAGGTTTCTTTAAATTTTATGTCGTACATATGCAACTAAAAAATTCGTACTCCCGTAGTATGTAAACCAAGATGGCGGACACCAGAACGTAGTATGTGTACTAGGTTAGAGTGAGGCCATAATTTCAGGTACAAATACTACGGGAGTTCTCGAACTTGCAATGGAACTAAAATAAAGATAATTGGAATAAAATTATGTCCTATTTCTAATCTGGTACACATACTACGTTCCGGTGTCCACCATCTTGGTTCACATACTACGGGAACACTGAAAAATGATCAAAAGAACACCTTAAAAACCGATCAGGGAGATCGATCAGCTGAAATCACCGTGGGTAGGCTACCCCCTTTTTGTCAGAATTTTCAGTATTTATTACAAAGCACCCGCTCAAGAAAAATGTTTCCTGGGTGACAATCGTTCGTTGCAAGAAAAAGCAACTCTGTGTCCCAACAACAACGTAGCAAAACTATCCATCTGTCCACTAAGTGTGACGACCCGTATTTTTAGATTCATAACACCATTATTTTGCAAATAATCAGTTAATTAGGTATAACGTTCGGGATTTCAGTTTTTTTTAAATTTTGGGTGTTGTTATTGATTTCAGGGTTTTTCTTCAGATTTCAGGTCTTTTATTGTATATATATATTGTTTTTATTACATTACGACGCCTGGTGATTTAAGCCTGGTGATCCCAGTGATTCAATTAAGTCTTCGGTTGTACTAAGATTGTTGATTGGGTTAATAAATAAAATTAAAATGACCTTAATTGAAGTGAACATTGAGAAAAAGATTGATACCAGACCATATAAAAGATATGTCGAACTGGGAAAATGTATACATATACTGACGATACGCTACATTCATATATAAGCAAATGTCAGAGTCAAAATTTATTTGAATCCGGAGTCAAACATCGTATAGGACTTTGCAATGCCTTGCAGTCGGGTTTGGAAATGTTTCCGACAACACTGATTTCTTCAAATTAAGAAATAAATGTATATTGCCCGCAAAAATTTAAAAATGAAGAAAAGTAATAGGCTTCTAGCGAAAAATGCATTTTTTAACCACCAAAAACTTCAAAGCAATTGGTCTATTAGTTAAAGAGAAAATTCTTTGTAACGATAAGAAGAAAAATACCGACAACATAATAACAAAACGATCCATATGTAGCCTACATTTCGTGTCCAATAAAACAAAATTGTTAACAGTAATTTTTGTGTACGGTATATTCGAAGCACGCGTTTATTTACAGGGAACTACGACACGGAGTGAGTATTATTGAATCATCAAGGAAATGAATAATTTTGTGAATGTTTATAGTTTTTACTGGCACATCTTCTTCGTGCGCATCAATACCTACCTGGTACTATCAATATAGATATGTTGCTTCCTTATTGAGCATACTCACTGCTTCATATTGGAAGTGCAGTGTATCTGTACCAATTGTAACAATTTAGCTTTACTGTTTCTTTTACACGACTTAATCTGCCAATTCCATGTCTTTGTTGCATACTGAACACATGGAACACTTAACCCCGAATTTTAAACAGTAAAGTGAGAAAGTGCTGCTGAAAGGCAGCAAACGATAGGTTCCGGCGTATCAAGCAGTGGCGTGCCTAGAGGGGGCGAAAGGGACAGCCTCCCCGGGCAGCACGTTGTAGGGGGTAGCAGAACTGGCGTTATTACACATGTTTTTCTCGATGTATTTTTATTTATTTGAGAGCTGACATTATGTGTTTAGTCTTGTGTGGCTGACTGCGGGGAATGTGAGTCAACAATGGCCGACCATTAGCCTCAGAAAAATTCTTTCTATCCTATTCTTGGTGCTCATTTTAAGGGTGGTTTCGCGAGTTAGCGCATAATAACTAGTTTATATTTTCAAACAATCGCTTTAATTTAAAATATTATTCAACCCTGTTATTTCAAAGTACCGGTAGAAAAGTTTAGCCTTGTCGATCACAGTTATTTTTGGACTAATTTCTGATTACTGCAATTAAATAATATGAGAAGACAGTATAATCATTGGGTTCTATTATCTTTGCACCCACGTAGATTTTCATCCACGTACATTTGAACCGAAATACATTTAAACTTACGGACATTTGCGCTCATGTTTTGCACCCACGGATATTCGCATCTATGGAGACTTGTACCCATTGAATTTTGCACCCGTAAACATTTACACCCATTGATACCCGGCTTTAAAGAAAAAGAGATTCTATTGCCATTTGTGCCGAAATAGGAACATCCTAATCTTATATTTTGTAATGAAAACAAACTCACTGCAAACTCGAACGTACATGGGCGCAAATGTCTATGTTTAAAAATTTCCAGAGTGCAAATGTCCGTACAACGGTGCAAATGTCCATGGGTGCAAATGTCTGTGGGTGAAAATGTTCATGGGTGCAAATGTCCATGGGTACAAATGCCTGTGGGTAAAATGTCCAATGTGCAAATGTCCGAAGGTGCAAATGTACAAGGGTGAAAATGTCCGCGGATGAAAGTGTAGCCTACTGGGTACAGAAGTGCATGGGTGTAAATGTCTGCGGGTCTAATCTATATGCGGGTGGTAAAATCTATGGATGGAAATGTCTCTGGGTGCAAAAGTATGCACGTGCAAATGTACGTGGGTGCAAATGTGCTGTCACCTAATCATTGAGTTCTTTGATTCGTTCTGAAACGCCCCTGCCTACAAGACTCCTTATAATGTTCCAATTGGTGCATTAAATTGATGACTAACAAGGCCCTTGCTCATCTTGTGCGGCGCTTCTTCTCTACGTGCTTAATAAAGCGCACGCAAAACTGTAAAGACAACTCCATTTAATAAATTATAGACTGATCTACGATTCAATTTCGATTTCTGTGGGTCAAAGACTTCATCTGCATTTGTGTCATTAATTTGTCTGGAATGGCGCAGACGAGATGTTGTTAATGGATTGTTCTTTTTTTGCCCCGCGGCATAATGGAGTCAGTCAGCAGGGACTTCAGGTGTGGAATTATCTGGCCAGGCAATCCTTCCAAACACGTGAACTTGAATAGCCCAACAACGACTATCCAACTGCGTTGAAATATTTAGTCTTTTTGGAAACACATGGGCCGTTTTGTTATTATGTTGTTGTTGTTGTTTTTCTTCCTCTTTTTCATGTTTTCATTGTGGAATAATCGCTTTTTTCTCTCGAATTTCTCACTAGAAAGCTGTTACCGGTACTTTTGTTTTTATCCAAGAATTTCTGTGGCCTCTATGGAATCGTTTTTTGTGTGCTTGACATCATCAAAATTAACAATTGCTCACCGTGTATCGGTTCCGCGTTCGCTTCAGTTGCTATATGGTAGTACATCGTATTGGCCGACCATATTATATTTGAGCATTGCTCTCCTGTCTGACACCAAGACATTCACCCTGTAAAAGACAATAAAACGGCTTAATAGTTTATTAGATCATGGTTTCTCATCCGGGCGATGTATATCAATAGCTAGTTTTCCCCACCTATGGGCCCTTATTGCCAGAGCGGAGACTGACATTATTGGCGCTGCCAGTATCAAATCATGAATATATATACATAACACATAGCCATGTGGTTGAAACGAAATATCTTAACATCAAGATTGGAAATAGACACTTGAAAAGGCCAAATAATTGGAATCTTTAAAAATGATTTAAAAGAGCCTACTAAGCGATAATATCATCGGACGTGCAATGAGGCATGTATAATATTTAATCATCGATGATTTGAAATAGTTGAAACGATTCAAAGAAGTTCATCAAACAAATGACGTTATTAGGAGAGTTAGTAATAGTAATAATATAGCCTAATGATAGTAAGCCGTAAACCAAAACCAGAAATCGCGATGTGTACTGGTTGCATATGAAGTACATTGTACACCGATATTCATCGAGTACTGTACTGATTAGAGGTTCATTTATATTCTAAGATATTGCATTTTCGCCCACACAAATATTATATCAAGCAACATTAATTTATGACTAGGACACCAAGCCTTCGTATTCCTCCCAAACACGCCAATGATTGTGCATCAGCGAGAGAACAGTTTCGAATACGCCAACGTATATACTCATGTTTAAAAACAAATAATAAGTAACTTATTGATATAAACAGTTATTCACGGTATTCAACTTGCGTGAAACAGATAGCATCACTCTTGTCGATTTTATATTTCATTTCGACCTTACGTAATAGACAAACGCATACGTCGTTTGTATCACGATAAGGAAGTTAAAAGTTTTTCAAGAGGTTTGTTAGCTCAAAGCAGTCACAGTTGCATCAACTTAATGCAGACATTTAATAAGAAGGATGCCTTCAAACATTCGAGACCAGGATCGAGAACCAGAAGTATTAGAACGTGAGATTAACATGTCACAGAATACTGCTGCCACCGAGTACAATGAAGACGACGTAATGGTAAAATCAAGCACAAACCAAGTATCCATCAAGCCGCATGACAGAGAAAAAGTGCTGCACAACATGATAATATTTTTGAATCCTTCGTCAACAACACCAGAAATTGGATTAAGATGTGACAGTCATAAAAACGTGGCATTAGAATTTAGTCAAACTGAAATACTTTACAAAGACATGAAGTTAAGTTCACTCGATATATACAAAATGAACCTGCAACAGCTTTTGGCAGAAGCAACCTTTTTTTTATCGGACAATTATATCAGGTCGGTATTGTTGCAAGTAACCGGCGCTATTGATCATTTGCATAAACTTGGAAAAAAGTTTGGTCGGATAACGGCTGAGCACATTTACTTATCTTGTCAGGAGCAAAGTCAGGATTCCCCAAAAATAGTTCTAACAGAATCTAGTCAAGCAAATGCCGAAAGCGGGGAACTTGATAAAGCCGAAGATGTCGCATTTTTGGGAGAGTTTTTCAAATGGTTTCTAGAGGAAGTATGGAAAAAAAAAGAAAGACATCTACAATGCTACGAAAAATCTACGGCGAAAGACTTGATTTCTAAAATGGTGGAAAAGAGTGTTAATACGAAAGATATATTGCAACATCCGTTGTTGTGGACTGTTGAGAAAAAGATCACTTTTCTTTGTGACGCTCATGATTCCATTAAACACCGGTCTATTGAGGAAAGGGTAGAAAGAGAAGGACAATCAGTAACAGGCGGAGATTGGATCAAAACGCTATCACTTTTTCCTCGAGAGAAGACAGAAATTGAAGCTGTGCATATAAATGGAAAAAAGAAACAAATCAATATAGACATTCTAAAGAATTGTGCGTCGGGCAAAACAAAAAATACGAAGTTTGACTATGCAACATACCTGTACGACGAGCGAAAATCAAAACTGACTGAAATGAGCTGGACCGCACTACAATCATTTATATCAAACAACAACAATAATTCGGAAAACCACATCGGGAGAAGAGAAGAGATTAAAAAACTACTAGAGGAGGAAAGAATAAACAAAGAACCGGCACCGTTTGAGATATTTGGTCCCGTGATATTGGTAAAGACGTCGGAAGAATTTAAGAAAGATTCCTTATGTGATCTTTTGCGTTTTTTTCGTAATCGCAAAGCCCATTACTGGGAAAGTAAGCAAAACATCAAGCGCTGTTTTCAGAGTAATCCAGACGGATTTTGGAGATTCTTTTCCTCGCGATATCCTGATCTTTTACCTTTTGTATACGAACACAGAATGATGTTCATGGGCCCTCTGCAAAATGCATAATTTCCAATTTGTATTAACTATGTTAACATTTTTTGAGTGTTTCCGTTGTTTAAGCGTCAAAATGATAATCTTCACCGAAAAAATATCTTCCAGAATTCTGAACCCCTGTCTGTAGCTACTCATATAATTCTTATTAATCCAGTGGAGTAGGTATCAGTTACTAAATTACGTAAACATTTTATATTAGGCCTTAGAATTGAAAGAGTTTTGGAACAATAAGATAAGAGTTTAATCTCTTTACAATTGATTGGTTGTGCTTAACTGGGAATATTTGTCATTCTTGATGTGCTAATTTTTTCATAGACATTTTGGTGGAAATATTGGAAGAAATTAATGAAACTGGTACATTTTGTTTGCAACCCTGTAATTTGTCTCACGTAAACCCCATTGGTAAAACTGAAACTAAGTTTGGAAACCACTGATCTAGAATCTAAATAAAATATATCATCAACAATATTCAAATGAAAATAGCTGTCATGTGTTTATTACTTTTGTAGTGAAATTATTGCTTTTTTTAATAAAAATGCTTAAGTTATTGTAAGTTATTACAAGCAAATATTCTTTTTGAACAAGATATACAGTATCTATATTTCTAATCTGTTTTTAAACTGTACGTACATTTTTTATTCATTTTGAAATTGTAAAACTGTCCGTTATGCTTATTCGAAAGTTCCTCCTTTCTTCCAAATAATTGGAGGCTCATATTCAGGAGAGGAAGTCTAATATATTGAAAAGTAGATTCGAACTTTGCGACTTCGATAATTTTATATATGTATTAATAACAGTTTGGACGCTGGGCAAAACACGGATGCTAATTATCGCGTAAAGTACGCCTAACTGAAGGTCATTTGAAAACAATAGTGCAATTTCATTTCATTCGAGAAGTCTGTTATCATTTTTTGACCCAAGTCTCATTTATAGTAAATGCTCTTGTATTTGACCACTAGTAAGTCAATCCAGTTCAAGTCCAAATGCTAGTTTGATCTTCCTTTGTTCTGAAGCACCAATATTGTGATAATCAGGACGAATCCACCGGAATTAATAGAATTTCGATATTGCTAGAATCGAGAGAAACCATAAGCAATGGTCAATACCCAATCCGATTCAGGATACTCATAGGTAATGACAAAATACAAAGTAATTACAATAAGAATGTGGACACGGAGATAGAACAGAACCGACGGTACCTAACTGAGCTCCAAGTTCGCCAAAGACATCGGCGGTCAAACCTGGCGTAATACAACGTGTTGTTGGAGTATATCGATAAACAAATACTACCGAATTTGGTGTGAATTGTTCGGTACATGGGACCCAAAGGAAAGACAGGACAAACAGAAAAGTAATAATCTTGTAGTGACTTCAACCACTTTTAATTATACACTCAAAATGTGAAATCGATTGGTTCATTACTAGCGAGAAAAACAATTTTAGCGAAAGCGAGAAATTGTTCAACGCATCACTCACCTACTATCTAAAACTGAACAGTACTTTTCCAAAATTAAAAGTTCTACTATATGTTATACTGTGAATATATACTACTCCCTTTGCTACAGTTAATAGTTTATCGGACCAAAACACGAATGCAAGGGGAAAATATCCTTAAAATGTACAGTCATGTTGAATATATATTCTGAAAATGTTAAGTTAGTATTTGGGCCAGCCATATGCAATCCAACGCAATATAAGTCTCGCGCCCGACCTCTACAATATCTAGCTAACAATAAGTTACAAATAACAAGTAGTAAATCTCAAATTTGTTTTATTCAAGAAACACGCTTAAAATACGTGGATGGAACGTAAATATCCAAAAATAAAGAAATTCAAATATTCAAATTAAGGTGGTCAAGTTAAAAAATTGTCTACACCGACCTGGTGGGGCGTGCGCCACCGTTTGAGAACCACTGATCCAGGACCAACGTTTACATTGAATAGATGATGAAGACTTGACTTGACTTGACTACTGTAAAATATATATTTTGCAATCAAATCGTTGAAAGCCAATTATAGTGGTGCAAATAATAAGTAGGTAATTATTCAACACGAATCATCACTATCATTTTAATAATGCGACTCATTTTACCTATTGCGTCATGATTACTCAAAACCAACAAGGAAGTTAATATTGCCATTTCGCATATATAACGTTCATGGCAGTAGAATAATGTACGTACGTGATTTATTAATATGGCAATATTATGACTTATTATCAGGACATTCAAAATAGTCATCCATAGAGCCTACGTTATCATAAGATAGTCTCTGCCACGTGATGGACAGAGTGTTTAAAAGAATTTTTCAATCCGAAGGTTCCAGATATGCTGATATTTTTTACTGTAGCGCATATTCTGAACATAATGTGCAGAAAATATTTTCCCATATACTTTTTCTAATTTTAAAAGTATGTATATAAAAAAAAGAAAGTGTTCAGGTTCGTGGCAGTGTATTTTATCTGAATTTATGTATTACTCGGTGTCGCAGAGATCGTCAGATCGCGGTGGTTGCCAGGCCTTATTGTAGTAAATTGATGAAAGCGTAGACAAATTTTCATATTTTTATATATATAGTTTTTTAACATCTGTCGTGGCACGGTTAGCGACATCCATCTGCTGAATTTGGCTTTAGACTCGAGTTATTCTGGTGTCCTTGTACATATTTCAGCATTTGCTCTGAATCAGGCTCTATATGAGCAGCCAGTGAAAGATTAATCTGATTTACATGTGCATGTTATTCATTTGCTCGCACAGATCCTAGTACCAGGTTTAGGAGGAAGTTATTATTCAGGTATCATTTTGAACGACTCATTAGCCTTAGTGTACGAGGAAGAAAATAAAATTATTTCATCATCCCCTTTGTCACAACCTTAGTAAATTAGCATACTTGTGAATTTTGATGAAGTGAATTAATGCATCGATTACTGGATTTGCAAAATTTGCTTCGAAATATATTTTTGATAGGTATTTCCTCGTGTCGTCATTCTCCGGGTGACTGTTTCTGTGAGTCGATGTCGTTATTTTTAGTGAATTAAATCCAATCCACATCAAATGATAAAAAAATGTATTACCATTGATATCCTGATATCTCTAGAAATATTACATATTGCGTAGAATGGTTACATTTTACTGTAATTTGAAATAGACTACGGTACGCCACGGTAGATACTACTGTACTATGAAAAATCTTTGATTCGAAAAGACTTCAGGACCTACGGTACCTATCGTTTTGTTTAATTGTATTGTGGTTGTGTAAAATACATTTTCTCGCGACCATGGACCAATTAATTCCAAATTTTCTATCCTATGGGACCCTATGCTTCATTGCGATGGCCATATTAGTTATTTGACCTCCATGCCGATATATTTGAGCATTTCTCTCTTTTCAGTTGTTGTTATATATACAGATTTAGAGTTTAAGAGCACCGTTTTATCACAACTCAGTTTAATTGTAGAATTGCGGATAAGCTTTTTTAAAAACAGTGTTGAGCTATATTCAATATATGCTTGTGTTCATTCTTACATTCTCTCCGAACTAGGCTCTGTCTGTTCTCTGTTTGTAAGAAAGAACTTTGTAATTAAAAGTAAATGGGTGTATTCATCTGTGAATTCTTTCAAAACCTGGCAGTACCAGTACATAACAAACAACCAATTTGTATGGGCATGTCCAACCAGACAGCCAGATCTAAGTTTTGTACAAAATGTTCCGAGTTCCGAGCAAAACTTTAAATGAGAAAACTTCAAACTTTTGAGTTACATCTTGAAAAAGGCTTAACTTAACTCAGCACTAAGGTGTGATCGAAACTCCTTATATTGTTGTGGTAGCTCTTACAGAACCTGGTTTACAGTGAACATATTGGCGGAGAATCCCACCCTTTTTTAGCAGTCACTTGTGAAGCGCATGTTCAGAGTCATTGTATGAAAACTCATCTTATAATTGAAAGCTTTTGTTTGTGCAGGGCCTAGTTCAGCTTATATATTTATTGAGTGGTTGCCCCTACTGAGCATAATCTAGAGTAGGGTTTCCCAAACTGGGGTCCACGTACCCATGGGGGTTCGTTAATTCCAAAGCAAAATACACAATACTAAACCTTTTAAACATGTACATCAGTCTGACAAATAGATTTAATTACTATTCTTAATAAATATCCTTGTATAGAATGAGGGGTCTGTAAAAACTAAGATTTACAAATAGGGATCTGCAGCTCAAAAAGTTTGAGAAACACTGATCTATAGTAAATGGGAGAGTGAGCACTACATATTTGAAGTAATTGCTTGCACAGAGCATAGTTCAGAGACAATCTGTAAACTCGACCACATACTTCACACTTGTGGCCTAAACCAAGCCCAGTTATAGTTGTACGAAGCGAAAATTGACAGTATTACAAAATATCCAATATTTGATTATAGGTAATTTCAATTGCAAGTCGGAGTCATGTACTCAAATTACCATGAGAGCCATATTTGAAATTATGAATTTTATGAGTCAAAATTTTTTAGGCGATGGTAATAACCAAGTACAAATTTGCAACAGAAACTGAAAACGCATTAAGTTATATTTGGTTTTCTGAGCTGAAAATGAAGTCAAAGTTTACTCCAAACTGGAGCAATATCCTCTATTCTATACGGTCAATCATGAATCGCACTTAGATATGTTTTTCAAATAATTTATACTTGGTTTAGAGTTGGAGTGTTGCTAACTCAACAGCTCGGTTAGTACCACCAATGAGAATATGGTTTGGATTTTCCAGTTTTAAAGGATTCATTGTTTCTATCTCACAAATGGGAAAGAAAACATGAAAAATATTTTTAAGCATAGCAAGATACCATCAAATACTCTTTAAGTATTCCCATTTTTGTTTGTTGTATGTAATTTTGTGGATTTATTTGTATTTCCTGTTACTTAGTGTGCAACGGTATTATTTTGGATTATCAAATATCAAAGATTTGTAAATCAGGTATTTATGATGAATTCTTGATTTCAGGAACAAACTTTTATGTATTGTAAACATTTAACTTCTTCATATGCTGGTTTATATCCAATATGTCCTTTTGAGCAGGATATATTGAATATCACATCAGACAGATTTAAGTGGAAATTATTAAGTTTTGTTCATCCCAGTGTAATATCCATGATATCTCAAACATTTTAAGAAAAAATATGATAGATATATTTTCGTAAAGAATTAGGAATAATAATACTCTGATGCGCCAGGAATTGTAACTGTAAATTGTGAAACCTCCCTTTTCACCGGATAAAATTCCTGATGTGAAGGTATAATTTCGTCAAGCTTCAATATTTGTACATCGATTTTGTAAATAATGAGTTACTTATTAGAAGTATTATTGCCGTCATACCAAGGGAACTGTATGCACAGGTAATATAATATTTCAATTTAAAACTTGACTTGACTAAATCAAATTAATTATCTATTGGAATCGATTTCAACATTTATAATATGAGGTGTTTTACTATTGAGTTATAAAATTTTCGTGTGATTCATAGCTGCAACTATATGTTTTCTTGTAAGTCAAAAACAACTGTATGATAAATATAAATGATCTGTTGACTGTTAGAAGTAATTTACACCATATTCACATTTTTATTCCTGAAAAATGTTTTAAAGAATTCAGATTATTAAAATTATTGTTATTATGAAACATGTTCGTAGACCCCCCTGTCTTGAAGGCCAATTGCCAAATCCCAAGTTTATCAAAATCTGTTAATTTGTTTTTTCATTTTGTGATAGTTATAATTCACCCTGGTTGGAATATTGTTGTTCAACATTTGTGGAATGATTACTACATGTAAATTAACCTAAAGACTTCCCAATTACATCAATTCGTGGTAAAGAGACAGTTAAATCCAATTGCACTATACAATTTAAATAAATTTGTTGCAGCTTTGTTTATTGTCTGATTTCTGATAAGCAGTATACTTTTGATTACCCTAACTTTATTACTTAGCATAAATTAAGTTTGAACTGAACTATGAATAACATGTTTTGTCTGTTTGCTAATATGCAGTGAAATTCAAATATAGTCTATGTAGGGTGAAGTTTCAATTATTAGCAATGCATAAAATAATATAATTTGGAGATGAAAATAAATGAAATTAAAAAAAAGAACCATGGAATCCTTCCAATCAACTGAATATGGGGGTAAGTTAAAAATAATTGAATGAATTAACATTAAAAAGTAAATTTCAAGTATATCAACCAGCTCTCTAGTGAAACCAAATATTTTGTCGTTTCGCAAGAAAATAATCTTCTCATACTCTCAAAAGTTCGATAACTTCCCCAACTCAGAGAAACTACTTTTGATGCCTCTAAGAGACATTTCACTGTTTATCAAGACATTAGGGGTGAAGATGATTGTGATTATCTATTTATAAGCAAGATATTGAAAGATAAGGAATTTTGATAAGGAAAGAATTAGTTTTGTTGCCCAAGCTGGATGCGGTTAAACAACTGTACTTAAAATAATATATCAAGTAGTAATGAATGAAAACATACAAACTCTTTCAGATATATGCCCCATGTTTTTCTTGGATTGTCAAAATCTTGATCCAAAAAGGAACATGACACCAGAAGATCTTATTTTTCAAAATACCAAACTTGATGAAGAAGAGAAGATATCCATTTCAGAGATGATCAAACAGCAACCAAGAAAAGGCTTATTTGTTTTGGATATACCTGATATCTTCGATTATAAATCCCATAATAAAAAAATTTCCAAGGAAGAGAATTGCAAACCTTTAAGAATTTTGTTGCCGTTGATTCGTGAAAATTTGTTTCCTCGTGACCGCGTCATTACATCTGAGAGATATTTCAACCCAAATGATTCTGAGCCTCAGAAAATAATAGCTTTTTCTGGTCTGACTCATGATTCTATTGGAATGATTGCTATGGGATATCTTGGGGGAACACATGTAATTGAAATGTTGCAAAATTCACAACTGAAATCAACTTCACTCCCATCGCTTTGCAACATTCCAATATTCTTGACATACTCTATCAATGGCATAACAAGTGATGACTATTTTAGGCGAAATACAATATCAGGTGTTATGATTATTTTTTTTCAAAGTTTTATCGGGTCAAAAAATATCTTGAACACATTTATGGAGGATCTCCTTGAAAAATTGAAACTGTTAGTATACACAGGAATTCAAAAGTGTAAAGCAATATTCAATTCTCGAGATTTACCAAGACACCACCTTACATTGAAAGAAACTGGAGATTTCACATTTTCAAAAGTTGGGATGCCTAAGGAAACAACTAGAGGTGAGAATGCGTATCGAGTATCAGTATATTTTATAGGAGTTGACAACACTTACGATTATGGATAGTGAGTAGAAACAATCTATATCTGGAATAAGTAAAAAAATATTTGCTTCACCATATGAATAATTTTAGAACGGTTTCCAAATCTTATAATCCTCTACTAATTTTGCTTTTGATAAGGGAAAATATAAGACATCCCCCGTAAAATAATCCCTAGTGCTATTTTTCGGGAAAGAATTGAAATAAGACCTATTTTCAGAGAAACACGGTATATACTCTTACACTTATAGCACAAGTTGAGATCTCCACTCTAGTACTTGATGAGTCCCTGGAAATGGATTGAGATTCCATCTATTCAAATTTTTCTTTCATTCTAGATTTAGCTGTGGAGCAAATCATGACAAATTTTCTTGATGGAGTAGAAACACCTTATGACATGATCGAAAAATGTCGAGAACAAAATGTACTACATTGGAATGAGATTCAAATCGCTCATATGAATGTTACAAAATCTACAATCGAGTTCGTTTCAAAAGTCATCAGTATTCCATCTAGTATATTAGAATTTGCATTGCGTGATGTAAACCTGACAACAGACAACATTCTCTCTTACTTCAAGAATTCTTTTTGCTATGTGAGATTTCAAAATGAATTTATTGATCTAAAATAACTAATAACTATCAAAATATAAATCAGAAAAATAAAACTATCAAAAATATGAATCATCAGGTTCAGTACTATTTTTCATTTAAATATTTCTCTTGAATTGATATGGCCATTTAGTAGTTTTTTCATTTTAGTTTCTAGAGCCTTTAGAAACGGTATACAACCATTTGATATTTTATTTTCCTCAATTTTGTACTTTACAGATACGCGAGTTTTCAGTTAACTGCGAAAAAAACATATCCACTTTACTGCCTACAATTTGCAAGATTTTATCAAACTGCAAATCTAAAATACTCAACGTGAGCGAAAATGATATTTCAGAAGAATTTCTTAGAGAGTTATCGCAAAATCTTGATGAAACTAACTTGGTAAGATTTATTGACTTAAATTTATTAGAGCCTGAATCAATCCACCATTGAAACTCATGGAGGTTATTAGTTTATTTAGAGAATATGGTCGGTGCATCAAAACCTACCAAATTTATTGCACCTCAGCTATCCATTAAAGATTAAACCATCGTACCCAAATTTTTTTTAGCATTGTTCCCATGGCTTATTTGAATGCTAAAGTTACTTTCAATTCAGGTTTGGTTTATTTATTTAACATGAGTTACATTTAACATACCGTACTTTCTGTCATTTCATTTAGGTGAAGACACTCATTGGGCTAGATCTCAGCCACAACACAACTATTCAAGATTTTTCTTCGCTAGCTGATATTATGAAGAAATTACCAATTGAAGTATTGAGACTGATGAATTGTGGAATAATAGAAGAACACCTAAAATCTTTAACCAAAAATATTTTTGAGGGAAAGGCAAGATACAATTGTATTGTTATTTGTTAAAAATATTCATACTATCTAAGTCTAGGCAATTTAGATATCACTCGTCGTAAAATAAAACATGAAACTATCTATATATATATATATATCTGAGCTTTTATCGATCAACTTTTGAGTATATTCTATATTTCTCTAGGTAAAACATCTGAATCTGAGTTACAATCCTGAAATGACATCTTCTTGTTTTAAAATGATTGTTCCTTTGCTGCATAAAAATGGTGTTGATTTTCTTGGTTTGAGTGAATGCGAGTTGACTGATGAGAAAATTCATACATTACGCGAGTCATTGCAATCTGGAACTTCGGTGAGAAACATCATTACTGTTATCTATTTCATTATTTAATACAATGGTAAAGTAAAGTTCCACCAGTACAGTTCATGGGTTCCGCAAGTTTACATTCGAATTTGAGAGTTATATTGTTACACAACTAATTCTTAAATATAATAAAATACCTGTTAGGTTTACCATTTTTATTTAACTTGTTACACCTTAAAGATCATTTTGTCTCTCCAGTATTAGGATAGATTTGCTTTTATTTATATATATGAGTGTCCGAGCCTCTGAAATATTTTATTGGGATCCACTCCAACAGAATAATTGAAAATCACTGATCTAATAGAAGACATTTAAAAGCATGTGCTTGTAATTTAGCAGAAATTTAAAACTTAATTTGAAGTCACACAACCTCAAATAAAAATAGTGAGGACAATGAGAAAGCGGATAAAATATGCTTCGCAATAAAAAGCAACAGTTTTCTGATGATAACATTTTGGTATTTTAAGTATAAAGAATTATAGAACTTGTTTGCAGCAAAATTGTGTAACGCTCGATGAAAAATGAAACTGCTACTCAACATCTTTCTGAAAATAATTACTATTTTGCTCATTCCATTGTTTTAAATACAATATGTTTTGTTTTTGGAATATATTTCACAGAAAGGCCTCAGATTGATTTCATTTAACAATAAAATATTTAATACTATGGTCCTTATTAAGATTCGTGCTTTTGACGTCAGTTATAATGAATGTTTGGAGTTTGGGGATGAATCAGACTTAATACTGCTGATAAAAAAATCGTAATGTCAAAGATCTAAATGTATCCGGTTGTGAGTTGACGGAAGATCAAGTTGAATCAATGGGGAAAGCTTTACAAGAACATGAGGTACGACGTTGTAATATAATATGATTTCTATATTCTACTATATATCTTCAAGTACATTTGTGGATAACCAAAAACTTTGGCTATTTATTTTAAAAATGTCATGATTTGTGTTCTTGTGCTATCAGAGGAAACATTCATTATTGGGTCTATTAGCTTACCTATTTCCTGAATTTTGTTTTGAAGACTTACTTACTTAATTGCAGTTTGAAACACTAAACATCAGTGATAATGTGTCCATACGTGACGGTGTCAAACATGTCGGAGAAATGGTTGGAACCTGTCCTATAATTAATCTTGATATGAGCGAATGCATGTTCAACACAAGACAACTAAATACTTTCGTCGACGAACTTGGTTCTTCTCAGGTATATTTAAATATTTATTCACAATTGAACTAAAAATGACATGTTTTTTGTTTTTTTGAAGAATAACAACTGGTAGTCTTCAATGTGCACACTAATTAAAATGAACTACTTTTTATAGAAAGAATCTGGCTCATAGATCTGTAACTGTACTGTGGAATCGACATGGCAGTGGTGTCACCTGCATGGTGCTCCACAAATTTTGATGCCATAGCGTCTGCCACGCCAACTGCATGGTCATATGCCAAAAGCAATTGACCTAGCAGATTAGGTGTATCAAAGCTGTTTTGCCAGCAGAAAAGAAATGGTTGGTTAGTACTACTGACAGTCATGCAAGCAACATATCAGTTGCTCGAGTCCAATGGTGGTGAATTCCGGGCCAAAACAGTTTGGTGCTAACTTGGCATAGCACCATAGTAGACTATTTGGTATAGCACCATAGCCTACTTGGTACACTATGCTACATTGCATACAAGGCCGATATGACTGTTTTGTCAACCTCCAGTGGATCTCTTATTTGAAATTCAAAGTAATTTTGAGACCATTCTGTGAGCGAGACCTGTCATTAAAAGCGGTACCGACCACAGTAGTCGCTAAAACAGAATCATCAATTACCACCCTGACTTCAGATGAAGGTACATGATGACTGCTAAACCTCTCAAGTATGGTAAGCTTTTTTTGTGGTGTACATATGCCAATACAAAAATATTGGTGAAGTGCTACTTGATGTGACAACCCACCGGTAGTTCTCAGTGTTTTGAAGCTATGAATGATTCGAATAATTTTGAATACTCGATGGATCGCGGTGAGTTACACTACATCTTCTGTTCCACAAAACTTCATGATTAACCTCCAAGCAGAGAGGTAATACAGAGGTAATGGTCAATAGTCATCACTCAGAGATGGAATTTGATGGTGGATTACTGTATGCTACCGTACTAGGGATACTATATCTTTCTTTAAAATTGCAACTACTGGAGACTGAAGCTGAAATTGCACAATGAAGAAGGTTTTGTGATCTTTACTGTCTCCAATTTTATGAAAATTATAATGTTCAAGTGTTTGTACGCCGGTTTGTTAACAGTTACTGAAGAAAAAATGCAGTGCCCATCAGATTGATGTGACAATGCGTACTCGATTACACTGGATATTTTGAAGACTCGTGTTACAGTTTGACACACGCCAGACTACTGCACGAAATACGATACAATCGTATTTCTGGTCATGATTTTGGCATTCTAAAATCATTTCTCTCTGTTCGCAAACTCATTGTCATTGTTGATGAATAGCGGTTCCAGATAGGTGTATTCAATTTTTCTGGAGTTCCTCAGAACTCAACATTTGACCCTACATTGTTTCCAATATTCATCAATGCCCTTCCCAATGTTCTTGATCACTGATATGTCTGTTCCTGGTGTCATATTTAAACTAATGCTCCAGTGACTGTTGACCCCGCTAAACCGAATGCAAAACAGATGATCAAATATTATTTACCCCCGGTCAATTTTCGAATTACACTTCTGTGCGATCAATGCATCGCTGCGTTTATTCTACATTTGTTATAATAATGGATTGTATTGTACTTACCTTTCAGAAACTGTCCCTAAAAAGTTATTTTTTTATCATTCATGTGCGTGCGGGCGTGGAGGTGGTGCTGCTGGTCTGTCATAGATTTCTCCACCTATAATCGTACTACCTCATCAATCAAGTGCTGCTTTGAAATATTTCAATCAGATGCTGTAGTTAGTTTGAGATTGAACTATCTTTTTCTCTATCCCAGTATAAATGTGACAAACCCATCCCACAATGCTCTGTAGGTATCGATATTTTATATTCATTCGATATTTGTATTCTTGTAGTTGGAGACTCTAAATATCAGTGATTCGAAGCGATATGTCGACACAAATTATATTAAAGTTGTCTGCAAACTTGTTCCAAAAGTTAAAAAGGAATTAACTGTATGCTTCCCCCGCATGTCTGAAGATTGCTTGGATTTGTTGCAAACAACATTGGATCATACTGGCAACAAAGTAAGTGAAATTTATTGCATATGGATAGTACTGGATGTAGATATATATAGAACTCCGTGCCCTAATCTTGCGCTTTCAAAATTTTGTTTTAAAAGTTGGTTTTTGTCAATGTTGTTGTTTCTTGACTCACGTACGATCGGTTAGTATAAAAAACTGACTGAAATCCACGATTAACAAAGTGACTGAATTTAAATATCATGTAAATCCGAGCATTATCGACTCTAGTATTGTCTAAAGATTTTAAACATAATTAAAATTGCTGTTATTCAAAATTCTGTTGAAATTAATTTCTAGAATGCAAGCCGATAACTTTCAAGCATAGAGGTATAGTGAACAATATGAGCAACTGCAAAAATTAAATTTTTGCGTCTGTTCATTCCTTATGAACGCAAATAAAAATAATTAACAACCCACTAAGTCTCTGTTAATCATTGAAAGGATAACTCTGTTGTTAATTCCACAGAATCTTCGTATTACCTATGGCTACAAAACTGACAGCATCAAATCAATAAACAGCGTCAAGTTCACTCCTTCTGTCGACATGAGGAAATATCTTGTACACAAGCCCAATATACCGTCATGATGATTGGTTTCATGATTTACTGTAATATACATTATAGCCAGTGTTATATATTAAGTACATGCATTACCTTGGCTACATTGTTTACCTAATAACAATAACTAAAAAGTGTCGGATAGTATATAAATCTTACCAAAATTAGGTTTTAAACTTATTCTCTTCACGAAATAAATATAATTAAAAGTGGCACAAACAACAATTTTAACATTAGCTCGAATGAAGATATGGTCACTAAAGCATAAATTTTCATTTTTCGTAGTTTTCAGTTTTCATTGTGAATGTAAGCTTTTTTATTGGGAAGATTTTTGGTCATTTTCAATATTTTTAACATGACAAATATAATCAAATTTTTGGAAACTAAGACACGTTCTTTTACCCGTTTTAAGTATTTCCTACTGAAGCACTAAGCGACCTATCATTAAAGACGTAATGACATGTCAAGTTTCTGGATATACCTTTATTAAAACTTCAATGGACGTGGTGATGCGATCATGTCTTGTATCGTCGTTCTGAAACGGCTTTTTCTGCGATTAATCAATATCTCAATTTACGGGTTTTACATTTACTAACTAACATACGTGTAGTTAAGATACTGATTTATTTCAGAAAAAGCAGTTTCAGAACGACGATACAAGACATGACTGCCGCACCACGCCCATTCAAACTTTGATAAACGTATATTAAACAAACTGTCATTACGCCTTTACTGAAAAGTCACTTTGTGCACCAGTAAGAAATACGTGAAACGAGTAAAAATACGTGTCCTTTTTACGTGTAGTTTTTAAAAACTTGATTAAATTTGTCATGTTAAAAATATTGAAAATGACTGAAAAATTTCTTCCCAATAAAAACGCTCACGTTCACAATGAAACCCCAAAATTACGAAAATTTATGCTCTGGTGACCATATCCTCCATTCGAGCTAATGTTGAAAATTGTTTTGTCGTGGATTAAAATGGATTTGTTCATTTCACTTTTATTTTTTCCTAGTAAGATGTGTTTCAAATGTCCAGGGTCCATTGTTGTTTAATTAAATATGTTGTCTGTTTCAAGTTATTCAACAGTATTGTTGCACACTGACTAAAAGTTAGTATGCAGCAAAACTTTTGAACAATTTAGTACAGATGTCGTCACTTTTTTTGTGTGTTGAGAGCTATGTTTACAGCTCTTAACTTTAATTTTTAAATTTGTCCTTGAAGTTCATCTTTCACATAAGAGCAAGCAACTACCGAAATCTAAATATATTATTCAGTTTCTTTATTTGTAGTGATTGTACGATATTTATGACATAGTTTATAAAGCGACACTGCGAACTATTCATTTATTAAAAATTATATCATCATCGTAGTTTATTTTTTGTTGTGCCAGAAACATCTCTTATATCTACGCACGCTGTATTTCGAAGCATTGAACGTATATTCTTTTTTGATTATAACGCCGAGCAGATGGCACCTTTTTGAAATTTTGACACAAGTTTGGACCTATGAATTCCTTTCCTGAATCGTTATTGTTGAAGTGCATTTTGCTTGTTCGAATCGCTGTGATTATATGCTTCGTAATATGATTATGCAATCGGTATTAATTTTTTTACTATTTGCTTTTATTTTGTCCTGAAAGTTTGAAACCGAAATATAGTAAAATGAAAAATATATCGTCAGATAAAGTCTTCGCGGTTAAGATAGAGATATTATCATATTACGTAGGGAATTTGAGTCGGGAAGCGTTGAATACTATTTCGAGCAAGTCGAATTCTATATGCTGGGCTGCCACATAAACACTGGACGTATAAGACTTCTCATTTGCGCGTTCGTAAATTCAATGACATGCTGATTAGTAGGGCTGGGAATTTCAGTGAAAACACTTTAACCGTTATACGGGTAAAATCAACCGTAGCGTGACTTTTGACGTGATTAGGTTAAAGTTAGGATTGTTACATCATAATGTTCCGAGAGCAATTCGACAGTTCCAGCCTACTGAAACGATGAAAAAGTAATAGATCCAGATGCAGCGGGAATGGCGCAAAAATATATGCAGAGTGTGCTTTTAGGCTTGCACAGCGATAAATATTGTGAATTCAAAGCGTTCGCCACTACTTCTCTAAAATGTCGAGTTTGCTAATATCACTGCGACTGAATGCACACTTGTTGAATGGAATTGAATTTATTAGACGCTCTCGCAATGAAATCGTGAAAATTTTAAGTGATGTTTATAATGCGATTAAGAATGCCTGTCGCAGGCTTTCCGTGACATTCATGAGTACACACAGAACGTTTGAATTCTGAAATCCAAAGATCATTGAACGATTTATAAACCCATTAGACATTGTAGATACTGAGAATTACATTCGTTTTTGGAATGTTTAGTTTTCAGGACTGGTGCATATAGTAAAGTTGCAAAATTGCGTATGTCCCCAAGTCATAGACACATTTCTGCCTAAGTCACAGTGCGCCATTATGACGTCACTTAACTGCGTCATGCAAATTAACTTAAATCCGGCTACGATCAAAAAATTAAACCATGGCAAATTATTGACTCTCAATGGCATAACAATATCATTAGAAAGTTTTTTACGTTTTTGTCAAAACTGCTAAAAAAGACCTACGCAATTCGGTTATTAGCGTGACGATATATACATAATTCTCTACGATTCCATGAACGTGGTTGAATTGGCAACTAACAATAACACGGTTCTTGCTCATCTTTTGCGCTGCATGTGCTATCCGCGCCTAGCAATGCGCCCCTAAAACTGTAAAGACAACATCAATCCATAATTAAATATATTTTAGACAGAGTTTCAGACCGATCTACGATCTGATTTCCTCGATATGGGTCAATGACGTGCGATTTGTGTGCGATGACGTCATCCAAATTAGAAGGTGGTCAGGCAAAGACGTGAAGACTGCGTTAGCGGTAGTCTACTTTGATAGATTGCATACTTGAACTACTTCGTTTTGGCTTTCGTGCTCACATCATTGAGATTACTCTCTTGTTTTACATCGCGACATTGATCTCGTGAAAGACGATAAAACAGCTCAACAGTGTGATGGATCATAATTTCGGTGACGGTACATTTGAACCCACGTACATTTGAACCCTGTATGTGTATATCCGTGGGTTCAATCTATATGCGGGTGCTAAAACCCATGGGTTAGGGTTAGTATGGGTTCAAATATCCGTAAAACAAAAAAATTCCATAGGTGCAATAGTATTCAGGTGCAATTGTCGTGGGTTCAGATGTACGTGGTTCAAATGTAAGTGGGTTCAAATGTACACGGGCTCAAATGTAATGGAACCCATAATTTCTCATAGTTTTGCTAATCTTCCCCAGCGTTGGCCCCGAGTGCCGGAACGAAGACTGGCAATATTGGCGCTATCGGTATCACATTATGAATATATATAACACACATGTCCATGTGATTGAAACGAGATATCTTCACATCAAGATTGCACAAGTGCCAACATTCCTGCTGTGGGATAAACTAGCGAATTCCAACACCACCTGATCACCACCGTCGCAGTAGATCAAACCAATTCCGCGATAAAAATTCCTTGGAATTGGCTAAATTCTGACTTAAAATTCTACGCGAAAATATCATTCTCCCCAAGTCTTTTTGGAGTCTTTCACAGGAACTTAACTTCTCGGTATGTTATTGGGAGTGAGTCTGAGTTGAATGAGACAGTCTGCTCTTCGGTGAACTGCCCGACGAACAAGACGCTATTTGATCAAATTGCGAAAAATGTTATTTTATGTTCCGTCGACCACAGTTAGACCTAATGTTAAAATTGTTTATTTGTTGCACTTTGTGTCTTCACACAAGAGGGGCTGGAAGCAGTTATGGGGTTCAAAATTTCTATAACAGGTTATATTTTGTGCCGAATTCACTAACAACGGGTTCGCTAATTTCAGAAACCAGACCGATCATATAGCTCTTTCTATACCCTCAAGCCTCAAAAATAGGTTTGCCGATTATCACAACATTCCAAGAACGGGTTCGGCCGAATCTAATCCCTTGTTGACTATGACCAACGTTTATTATACGAACGAGTAGACATGATGTGGAATATTTTTTTTTCACGTCTATGTATTAAATTCTGTACAATTCTTCAATATTTCATACGACTTTCAATACACTTTTTTATCATTTACCTAGCATACTAGTCATTTTACCATCGACACATTTAAAATTGCTCTTTTGTTGAAATATTGTTAGTTGACACCTGATGTATTTATAAACTGAAGATTTGTATTGCACAATGCGCTCATGCGTACCTCATGATGCGCTGGTCGATTATCACATCAGGATTTGTTAGAACAAAGGTCATTTCCTTGTATACAATGTTCAGAGTTGACTGCAAGTGTATTCCTGGGCCAAATATATAGGCATTACTTTGGTACTGGCAACACGAAAAACAAAAATATCGGGCGTCTGTATCTATTAAAAATCTAATTTCATTTACTATTTCCGAAGTATATAGTTTGGAATCGGGTGATGACATTATTTATTCGAACACTGATTCGATACACATAAAATGAAGGCAGATATCAGCGTCATTCATTTTAAACATACACCTTGTATATTGAAATTTTGAAAATATATATCGGCAATTTCAGTATTAAACAAGAAGTATGCTGTTTCTTTGAGTTCCTCACGATGGAATGACCAATTATCCCGTAATCGTATTTAATTTGGACACTGTAAAATATAAATCATCAAAAAAGACAGAATTACATGTAATGGCGTTCCAATACACATAATATATATATTTGAATGGCGACCTAAAATTTACCAGAAAGTAGCAATTATATCTATAACATCGGAAAACTGATATTTGACCATTTGATCACAATCCGGTCGGGGATAAATGGCTAAATAATTGGAACCTTTATATTTAGGTAATAAAAATGATTTGAAAGGGATTACTAGGCGATAATGTCATCGAACGGGCCATAAGTAGGGCTGGGAATTTCAGGGAAAACACTTTAACCGTTAACCGGGTAAAATTAACCGTTAACCGGGTAAAATTAACCGGTTTACCGGTTAACCGCAGCGTGACGTTCACATAATAATTTATAATTTAGCTTGTTACGTCACAATGGTTACACGACATTTTCGCGTGACCTTATCCCGGTATCGCTCAAAATTATTCACGAATCGAGATAGTTTCATGATCACTATGCTGCAAGATATATGTAGCGTGGGTAGGACATATGGAAGTATTTTAGTACAACCCGATTCCGTTATGAAATGTCATTTATGTGCCAAATTTTCAGTGTTTGATGTGCAAATTCTACTTCGAGATATATAAAGAAAAACAGCATCAACTAAGCACTTATTGGTTGACATTGAATATACCATATATGATTTTGAAATAAAATCGTGAACAATATATTTCGACCGAAATCTGATTCATAATTAATTATCGTCAAATTTTCATAATCAGCAATTTTGGTACTTCAATTATTTTTCACATTTATTAGGTACTCACCAATACAGTTAGCGATATTCTTTTGAATTAAACGCCACAGGAGATAAATTTGCGAAGACGTAATCATTTTTGAAAGAATTGATTTGTACCTGAGATGTCAGTTAACGGTTAAAATAAATCGTAACCGTTAACCATCTAAAATCGTTTAACCGATTAATCGGTTATCCATTCCCAGCCCTAGGGCCCATAAGTCATATACTGCTTATTCATCGATGATTTGAAATAGTTTCAAGGAAGTTCATCAAACAAATAGTCCGGCAGAATCGGGCCTTAACATTGTTTTGGGACATAAAGTTTTTTTTATTGTTTAGATATAATATATATGACATATATAATGATATCCAGGTGGGTGTGGAGTATATAATATTGAGCAATTTTTTTTAAGTGGATTTAAAGTATTCGGTCCAAGATGACGCACATCCTGAACCCCAACCTGGTAAACATACAATGTTCAGGTTGTGCGCCATCTTGGTACGAATACTTCAGGAGCGCTCTTTTGTTAAAAACGATTATTTCATAACTAAATGGTTTAGTTTTGCATACATAGTAACATTGAATCTCCTTACAATGTCAGAAATTCAATTTTAGTAGAATAAATGGTAGTTTATTTCACTAATACAAGCCAAGATCCATCGACAGCATCTAGCCACTTTCTATTGCGCTCTTCAAACTACATTTGAGATGTGCACCTGTTATGCCAACATAGTTGAGTCAACGTTTTGAATACTAGTATATCACACACATTTTCCTGCGTGCTTCGGTTGTACGTAGTAACGCGCCTATTTTTGCGCACATGCATCAAATTCCACTTGATTATTGAGCTATAGGTTTTTGACGAGCTTTTGTGTATGATTTCATTCAATAGAATTTGTATGCTGTTCTGAAGAATACTAGTTTCAGCTTTTTCATTCATTCAAACCGCGTGTTGAAAGTAAGTTTTGTAATATTGCGTGTTGGTTTCCAACATCCTTAAATCGGTGATGCCAGTAAATCTTTAATACAAAAAGATCAGTAACATCTGCAATAGAAACAGCAATACCCACTCAAATGACACTCAAATGCTCCATAGCGTGCATCTTACAGTCTTACCAGTTTACATGAGTGCCAATTGGTATCTAAGCTCAGCCAGATGCAAAAAGTTTCGTGACGAAATGTTTTTAAA